CGGTGAGAGTACTAGTGTGGGCTTAGATTGCATTTTGAGTTGGAAAACTGGTGCAATTGCACACTTCAGAACTTTTGCTGTCTGGGCTGAGGAACATGTAGATGGACTGGAAGTAGCTTGTACGTATTAAGTACTTACTATACGAATTTATCTATAATACTGAGTCATTATACAAACATAAGCCCAATTTAACTTTTCATTGCTAACTCTGCTACAGTTGTGGTTGACTGGCTCTCTGCTTTCATTTTAGTTTGTCTTTGCTAGCAAATCATTTCTCTACTGATAGGAAATAACACTCAATGCAGCAAAGCAGTGCAACGATTGCCCTTGGTGTTTTCGTTGACTCACTTCATATTCAATAAATCTAGTTTTCAGGATCCCATTATAGCCATCCCAAGCTCGGAATGACATTTAGATCTATGAAGAAACCACGAACCTATCAGTTTGCTGAAAGAAAAGAAAACCACGACCGCCACTAGAGAGATTGAATTGATCCAGCAATGTCAATGAGTTAGCTTCCGTTGAGAGAGTCAGTTCGGTGTTTTTTATCTTGGCCATACCCACCCTCTTCACCCGTTGAAGTAGCAGGTTCCCTTCGCAGCTTGTAGTTGATTACGAAGAAAGGCGCTCAAGCTTCGACGAATCGTGTCCGCGTCTTGCCTTGGAGGCCCTGGATCTGCACCCCATGCAGCTCTCTTTATACAACTGGAGACAATACCAAAGTTTGCTCCCTGCATACGATTTGAAAGGGCCTCCACAAGAGTTTCCAATTGTTGCAATTCACTGAAGACGACTTGGGTTCTGATATTGTTCTCGAGTGTGCTTCCGAGAGAGTAACAGCCGACCGTGATGGGTTGATGCAAAATCCGTTCTGTTTGGTCTTCATCGGTGTCGATTTTGTCGATATTGGAAAGGACTACCGAAGGGTCTCCGGTCTGATTGTCGTTTCGTATCATGGCTCGGTACCAAGCCATCACTTTCGCACAAATGATTGTAAGGACTAATAGCATCTGAAAGCTCGAAGAACAGTTGCATTTCAGCATGTCAGAGACCAGCCTGACAATGTCCTTGTTGGTTGCTAAAACAGAGTCTATCATTCGTGGTTGACGGGAACTCGGAATGGAGGCTTTGTCGCATGCCCACAAGCACGTTCGAGGAGGAATGTGTAGTGTTTGAAGGAGTCTAAGGGCTGAGCTCATGCAAGTCGTAGCGTTTTCTGAACAAGACGCACTGCCTGTGGACTTTTGTGGATGTTTGCCACTTAAAGGATCAGTCCGAAATGATGGATTGAACGTTGGGAAATAATCTCCCGAAGCAGTTGAATAATCTTCGCCCATATGAGTTGAAGCGGAAAGGTCCTGCTGTAACGCTGTATTGAGAAAATTATTCGGCACGGGTTCGACAACAGCAGGTGCCCAGAGATCCAAGTCGAGGTCGAAAGCGCTTTTACACTCATTTGCGATTTTTGTCGTGAGTTGAGGCCCCCGATCAAATGTAGCATGATCTGGAACCTCAAAATCAAAAGAGTACTCATTGTCATCTCTGAAAATCAGTGGTTTGGTGTCCGTGATGTATTGCTGAGCGACGCCATGTCCAAAGTAGGCCGAGTTCGCCTTTTGCTCTGCATCTGTATTTGCAGAGACTATTTGGGAATGGGCTTTCTCCGCAGGGTTGAATCCCATGTACTGAAATTCAGAATGACTTCTCACCGGGTAGCTGATGTCGAGAGGCGATACAGTGTCTTCCCGCGCGGATGATGAGAAAGCAAATAATCGAAGGGAAGATCCGGTGTGGTATTGGATCCCAAAACTTCTTCTCTAGAACAGTTAAAGTCATTTACAAAGGCTCCGCTGGAAGAGCTCTGCAACCCGTCGCTCTTTGGTTTGTAAACACCAGAAGTGCCACAATATTCCCTGGTCTTAGAAGGCCGTCGAAGGGGTGGTGATGCAGAAGGGGATCTTTTGATAGGTTGCATCTTGAATAATACTCCACAAAAAACGATATATTATCTGCGGAACTGAAGTCAAACAAATTGCCAGCACCATGAAATAGATATGTATTTGCACTATGTATTTATGTATAGAGTACTCGAGAAGGCACTTGCGAGATCGCTCCACCATAGCTGTATTGAAGAGTCCTTGAAAGTGTGCATATTCTGGTCACTCTGTTATATTGAGCCAATCATAAGCAATGATCGAATCGTCAAGAAAAAGCAAGATTGCAGGTTCATGCGAGGATTGCTTCTCGCTTTCTTCTACAACTCCGGCACTCCGAAGTGTTCTCACCAAATCGACGTTCCCTGACAAAGTACAAAGTAATACGCCCATACGAAGTTTGCCAAAAGCCACAAGTAATAGTTGCGTAGCTGAATATTCCAACATTTGTTGCGACTTTGATTTAGAAGATCCGAGGGATCTACCAAGTGATGGAATTCAGTGGGAAAAGCCGGCTGCTGAACTAGGCTCCGATCTTTCAAAAGCATGCATGTTGTCCCACCATAAGCGGTCGCGCTCGTAGATACCAATCTCCGCATATGCTCAATGGGATTTGCTCGTGTACGAAGCCCATCCCACTCGAGGAGAGCATGTTTTGCCTTGAACACTGCATTTCAACCCCAGGACTTCCCAAGCCTAATAAGCATTTCAGCTTGTCTAAGGCGTAATCCTCCTGCAGATGCGGGACAGGGGATAAAGCGAATAAACCTGTTTCATAATCATCGCATCACCAGTCACGTTACGTTCGTTCCAACCGTCTCAGTACTTTCGCATACGATTCAAACCGGCGTTCGTTCAACATGAACAGCGATCGTGGCATGCGTAACGGAAACAAAGACGTGGTTCGATCCCAGAAATTGAAGGAAGCCTGTGATGTGTGCTCAACGTCGAAAATAAAATGCAACAAGGCAAAGCCAATATGCGGCCGCTGCGACAAATTAGGTACCAAATGCAAGTACAGTCCAACCAGACGAATGGGAAGGCCTCACCCTCCGCGACACACGCAATCTCAAATCATGCCCAAAGTGATCAAGGAGCCAGTAAAACGCCTAGCCTCTCTTCAAAACAGACATGAGAGCTTCGAATCCGAGTCCGATACTTCTGTCAATGAGTTGCGTGGTCCACTCGGGGAGATCAGAGCAAAGAGAACGACGACACTTCGAGCAAATGGAACAGACTACAATGATGATTACATCCCTGATGCTCAGGGTTCTGTCATCCTACAAAGACAGCCAGTCAAGTCTCGACATAGAGACGAATACAAATTTAGGGAGTCGTCGAACACTAAACAGAAAGACATGATAGAAGAAGGAAGGATGTTCGATTTCAATGGCCAAGTCAGCACTGGCGAGTCAGATGGATTTTTCCAAAAGGCAGTGGCGAACGACGATATCAGTTTGCTTCATTCAAGCGTGTCGAGCCAGAGCAGACGAACTTCAAGCACGATCGACAAGCTGTCTAGGATGTCAAGCTATGGAGAGAGCTCAGCTTCCTCGAACGCTTGTGAGGAAGACTGTGCTACATTGGCCATAAATACGCTTGAGGACCTCAACAGAACTACTCCAGCCCTCAAACGAGCTGCAAGCGGCACCGTAATCGACGAAATGGAAACAGAAAGCCATGATAGTCCGATGAAAATTGTGTCGATGGCTATCAAGTGTATCTCAACAATCTTGGTATGCCCTTGCTCACAAAAGATGGATGTTTGCCTTTTAGCTGCGACTGTTTGCACCGCGATACTTGATACTTATGGGCTGCTCATTTGCAACTGTACACCTAGGCAGAGCCGGCAGGTGCTAGGAGAGCTCCCCAAAGTAGCAAGTTTAGTAATGCAGTTCAACAAGCGATGCAGCCAGGATGTCAAGGAAAACCCAGAGAATTTGCTTCCTGCACTTGGGGCTTCTCTAAAATCCAGACTTCAGTCTATGACCAACGAGTGTCTAACCAGAGATTGAACAGTGAAAAGGGGTTGGGAATCATAATTCGGCTACGGCGAAAAGCCATTCTATGTCAAGCAATCGAGAAGGCGGGATTGCGGAGATATTTACCATTGAGAACACATTCTTTTGACGGGTTCGAATACACTCAGACGAGGCCCTCCCAGGCAGCTGAGAAGAAGATTGGGGGAGGATAGCTGTGGATATGCGCGCAAAATTTCAGGGGGGAGTCGCCAGTCTACAGCATAGAAATAGCAAGAAGGTCAAATAAATTGGAATATATATAAAACGCGGGCCCCGCTTGCTCACGTGACTAAAAACTTGAGATTTGGACCCGTGAATATCGTGTAAACAAGTATTAGAGTGCAGGTAGGAAACCTCGTTTTTGAAATGGAACACTATGAATGCCGCAAACATGAACATCAATATTGAGCTTTGTTTGTGGAAGTTGATAATTCACCACTTCTACGTAATGCATTTCCGTAAATCTGCCGGTCTTCTGGTTTGAGCCGATCCACCTTGACATGAAACCTCAATCCAAAGTCCTCTGAACACTATACTTTACCATCCTCGATTACTCTCTTCTCTTACCATCCTAGAAAAGTCAGAATGTACCCAATGCAGAGCCTCCTCACTCATGACAAGATTACATTGAAGTACATAGACACTGGTGCCGATCATGGTAGCGAAGACGCGCGGAAGCCATGGATCATCTTGGTATGTATCAAGTTCTTATCACTTCTGCTACTATCTATTTGCACCATGCTTGGTCAATTTCACACAAATCACCGGCCAAGTGGCCTCATTGATGTTACCATTTGGCCAATATCTCAAAAAGAGGTGGCGGGCCAATTTCCGGTCCTGAATTGGTGATACTTCGTACATGACACGAAAGCTTCCCGTGGAATAACTTCAATCATGGTCTCATCCGTCTTTCCCTTACGCCAAGACCACTATCTGTCCAAGAAGGGCACCTGTCGCATTGCACAATCATGTACTTTACACAGTCCACCACGGTTTTCCTGTCAGGCGTTCCTTGCATTTTTCAACGACAGATTAGCACTGCATAATGCAGTGCGGTACCCGTCGTCGTTACAGCGTCTTCTCATCTAGAACCATACTTCAACCGAATAGAAACTCTACAATTTATTGATGCGTTTCATTATTAGACGCTGCGTTCTATCTCTCGGTGTTCTAAGTCGTATTCCATATTCAAGCCCTAACTTTCAAGTCAGCTCCATGGCTTCACAGGCTCTTCGGCAGTATGGAAACGCAATATTCCCGGTTTGGCAAAGACATATAGGGTCGTAGCTCCTGATCTTCGGGGGCATGGAGAAAGCGATAAGCCTAGGCACGGCTATCACGTCTTGAGGCTGGCCCAGGATCTGCACGAGCTGGTGAACTGGATAACTGCCAAAGAAGGAAGAGAATCTTGGGATGATGAGAAAGGACAGATGAGACGATGGAAGGCGATTGGAGGGAGTTTGGGTTGTTCGATTTTGTGGTGAGTACTATTGACCTTGCTACACCATGCATTCCAGCCTTCCTATCCATATCCCTCTCTGATCGTCGTTTCCAATCATGCCTATCCTTATCACATGAAAAACGTCGTCTTTCATTATTCCAAGTGGGAGATAGATTACTTTACCATTTCCATTTCAAATCCCAAATGCCAATCTCACATTCTAACTCATCCAACCACAGGGCGTATGCCTCTCTCTTCACCACTTATCCCTTCACTCACATGATCTTCATCGACCAATCGCCCCTCCAGAACAGCGATCTTTCTGGCTGGGACTCCCAATTCTGCAACCGAGGCATGAACTCAGCACCCGCAGTGTCCGCCCTGCAAGCCACGCTCGCCCTATCTCCCTCCACGGCGCACAAAGGCACCATATCCGCCTGTCTGTCCTACCGCTCGCACCCGCTAAGCTCCGACACCGTGTCAGCTGAAGAAGCCGCGTCTGACGAGGCCTTCTTTCTCGGAGAAGCAATGAAGGGCGACCCGTGGTGGTATGGGAAATTGATGGCTGATCACACGGCGCTTGATTGGCGAGATGATATACGTGCTACGTTTGGCAAGGAGAGCGACAGTACCACAAAGGTGTTGGTGCTGGCGAGTAGTAGAAGCGGATGTTTCCCTGCTGCCGGACCGATGGCGGTTGTCGATCTGGTGAATGGGGGGTCTGAGGAGAAGAGGGCGCAGGGTCTGATTGTTGAATGGGGAGGGCATTGGCTGTATTGGGAGAATCCAGTCAAGTTTGAAAAGATTGTTCTGGACTTTTTTGCGGATAAGGAAGTGATGGATGTTTAATTCAGATGTTTTGCAGCTATCAAGCCAATAATGGCGTGAGTGCTTATGTGATTTCGCAGCTTCTTACAGTATAGATGAACACTGTTGAGCCATCTCTACCTAAGCCTAACTCATCCTATTCACAATTCTATGTGTACAGTTTAAGTCAAGATGCGTAGATATATAGTATATCTGGCTCCCAGTGTATTAACATCGCACAGAAGTTTTCACGTCGCTATCCTTGCTCAACGTGGTATCGAAGCGAGCCGCTGTAACACGCTTGTAATGACAATACAAAAAGATCGTGTCGTTAGGTAAATATGTGAGTGGGTTGTGTATATGCACAGAAAGATTTATGAGTGCGAGCTCGACTTAAAAGTTAGATATCGAGATCCGTAGCTCGAGTACAATGTTGCAATTGGAGGCTAGCCCGCTTTACATGACCCTTCAAGATATGTCGTATTATCGACTAGCGTAGTACTATCGTTGTGGAATTCTACTCAAAGGCCTTGAGTGGGGTTCCTGAGCCACAGCTGTTCAGCTATGGCTAGAATCATGGTTCCAGATAGTTTCGTCTAGAAATGCGTCTGAGTCCGCTATTGCCTGTTGATTTGCGAAGTCATTGAGCTCATCTGGATCCATTCTCCAGTCGGTCGAAAAGAAGGCAGTGTTTCCCGTAGGCGGCCAAGGGACCTGAGGGGGAGCAGTTGTCTTACTACTATCAGTCTCAGATGGTCTATATGGGAACTGTGTGGTATTTGAACTCGAGGTGTTAGAAGATGGTGTATTTCTGGACGGAGGTGTCGCCCCTGAGTCGGAATTGGCCAGGGGAGACAGATCTTGAAATCCGTCATCGCCCTGAACAATCGGCGGGATGCGAGGAATAATATGAGCCCCACGTTTGTTTGTATTGTTGGCCTCAAGAGGCTGTCTCGAGAAATTCTCTACATATGTCGTGCTCCCAAAGTTTGTGTCCTCGGGGAATTTTATACTACCGAGTGCGGGTAAGTTATCAGCAAACACATTTTCGCCAACCGACGTTTGAGGCGCAACCCGCCGATCTTGTATAAAATTCTGGATTTCTGCTACCGTCATTGGGACACCCCTTCGTTCGGCGAGTATTCCATTCATAGGGGTGTTGGGAAATCCAGAAGAGAGCTTTTGGAGCGTTTCGGGTGTGCTGGAAAGCCCGGGCATAGGAATTCCGCCGGCTTCAATGTCGAGCTCCAGTTGGGCAACAAAATGTTTGGTGACTGGATGCCTTTTGGAGAGTGCCTTCATCGCGGCAACGAGGAATTCGAGATTCGCCAAAGTCTGAGGGCGAGGACTTCCAGTTTTATAGTCTTGGATGAAAACGCCGCCAGCAATGTCTAGATAATTTGCGAATCAGTACTCCTGTCCCAGATGATACTTATAATTGCTGTAAAACATCGAGAATTTTGCAGCTCTGAAACATGAGAGATAATGGAAGAGTATTCAGGTAGAAAGAAGTTCGGTTTGGGGAAGTCCGGTGATACTCACATAAACAGAAACCCCACCATGAATTCATCTGGGACAAATAAGCTTAGTCGTGATAGCATTGCACCGAGGACTTACTTTTGAAGCATCGACATGAGTGACAAGACGCATGATGTTTGAAATCTCATCTGCTGCCATCAAACTCCGGGTTCGACTCTGCCGAATAATAGTAGATCCTGTTTTGTGCCTTTCGGCAGTAAAGACAGCCGCGTTATGAAGGCATATGCTAGAAGCATGTATGTTCATATGCAGAAAAACCGTATTCATATCAGAAAGGCCAAATGGTAGTCTCAAATGGTCAGGAAGAAACATAAAAACATTGGAGAGGACGTTGTCCATCTTTCGATGTCTCTTCCAAAATTCGCCATTGGATATGTCTTCCGGGTTTTCGTCAGGACCTTTCCGGTGGAGGTGGTAATAGTTGTGTCCGTAGAGAGCGGCTGCTAGAACGACCCCACCAAAAGGACTTACATGGCTTGCACCTTCTGCGGCCAGCGCTTGTTCTAACGAGATGGTTTTCTGTTCGATCCCCTGCTCGAACGCTTCTTCCGATCCAGGGAGATTTGTCAAGATCTTTACCGTGTCAGAAAATGAGCATCCCAGCAGAATAATTGGAAACAAACCTCACTTTCATCGATCGTCATAGGCCAGCCTGTTCCCGAACTCGCCCAACGATCCCCGTAAAATGCTGCCCAGAAGGTCCTCCGTCGCTCTTCAAGCTCGATCCAGTCTCGAGACACTGGTAATATCTGCTTTACGTCCACTCTTTCTCCATCTAGTCGATGCAGTCCTAGCATATGAACCATACGAACGAACCGCCCAATGCTCATCCATGATCGTGAAAAGTACGTCTTTTTAGCTTCATAGTTTCCAATTAAACCCCAAGTTTGGGCGTGGTAGAGGCTCACAAACGCTTCGCCATGGCCCTATGTTAATTAGCAAGATAACTAAATGACCAAAATCAAATTCAAGCATAGAACAGAAAAAATTACCAACCTTCATCTCCGCTTCTTGTATATACCTTCTTGTGCGTTCATAGAAGAGATCTTCATAACAGGAGTACTCGTCGGACATCGATGCAGCGACTGTCCACATCGCATAAAGTAAGCATACAGGCGGTCGCATATGGGGAGCACGATCCAAGGATGCGAAGAATCGCACTTTGTGGATCATAGGCATAAATACATGGAACGTGTTGAAAAATATGGCGTACCTGCACCTGTTAGCGTAAGTGAAGAAAAGAAGTCATTAAGACCGAGAAAGGTTGGAACGCGGTTTATTTTATGGCTGCATAAATAGACTCATAATACAAATACGGAGGCCTTTTAGACTTAATGGCTGATTCTTTCTATACAACGCAAGGCAGACTTCTGAGAGCGTTCCGAGCAGGTACCCATCATAGAGAGGTAGCAAGAATTCGATGTTTTATGTATGAAATATGAAAGTTATCAGGGACGTACAAATCATTTATCAAATCTTCTGGGGGCAAAGGTTCTTGGACTCCAAGACTTATGAGCTCTTGGGAGAAAGGATCTTCTTCCGATGGGAGACCGGGGGCAAGGGCTTGAAATACAGTCCCGGAAGAACCGAGAATCAACGGTTCATTGAAAAACCCTCCATCTCCCAAACTCATATCCATGTTGTCTGCGAGATTGTCCCAGTCGGCTTCAAGATCTTGACCAGAAGTGTATTGAGTATTGCGTGCCATATTATTCCGTTCTGCAACGAGTCGGGTCTCAACCTGGGCTGTTCTATGTTATTCCAGGCACGTCTTGTAAATTGCTATAAGATGCTTCGTACCAAGTCTCTCTTCCAACTCTTTCATATTCCGCCGCTTTGAGCCCAAGTTTCTGCGGCGCTCTGGGTATTCGCATTGACGTCGTAGTCGCGAGCATGTCCCGCATTGTGGCTTGATCCGATCGCATTTCAGCTTCCTTCTCCTACACGACACACACGATATCGTCTTCTCTTGGCCTTTGGCTCCTGCTGCAGATGAGGCTTCAGATGGTTGTGGTTTTCCTGTTTGTGCTTCACTGGAGCTTGCCTGCGCAGCAGGCGCGGTATACGCGTCCGCGTCGCTGTCAAGGTCTTCAGGCATGGGAGAGGCCACAGATTTGGAAAAAGGGAAAAGGAAATTAATGGATCTTTGGGCGCTGAGGGCATAGAGAAGAAGAGAGCATGCATATATATTATTACTAGGTGGAGATAGTAGAAAGATAGGTATTTAGTCCACCCGGATCCCTCGATCGTCGCAAGATTGCGCTTCTCGCCAGCCGTAGTGTCAGCCTTATGCTAATGCCTGTTTGGGGATAGGTTTTATGTAAATAATGCTGGCCAATGAGAGGAGCTACTAAGCTACTGCACATTGAGAGGTCTCATCCACGGAGTAGACATCAATTACAAGTACAATACTATAGTAAGTACCTGAAGAGGCTGCCGAAGCTCAACTCCCATGACACAACACCAGCTCATGTTATCCTCCTCTGTGTGGATACAGTACTCGGGAATCTATTGGAACCAAGGGCTGCCAATCGAGGATGGGAAGCTCAACTGTCGAATGTCGAGATTCAGAGAACAAAGGAGACTCGACGACTTACTTGGAACGCTTTCCTTCCTTGATACGTGTTTCTCTCCCAGCTCTTCAAACTATGGTACTCCGTCTCCATGCTAGGTTGGCATACCTGTTGAACATTTCTATGCAAGAGCTGGGTAGCGGCTCATGGCATGCGGGTTCTCCGTTTGTACCACTCGTGTCACACGGAGACCTGTAAAAAAGGGGGATAAAAATGGATAGCAACATTCAGTATCCTGGAAATGTCTCGAACAAACGTTGTCTTCGGAACCCCAGACGCTGCTTCTGGAAGGTGCGTTGCACGGTTGAGGCACAATGCTCGAAAACATGATTGTTCTATGAAATTGAAGATACTAAGCTTAAACCTGAGGAACTTACTGGAATTTCATCCATAACCGCGCGGTTTGTCCCCAAGAATCCCCATCAGAGGGGAAAATCGCGCCAGGCGCCAGGTTCGTCGAATATGCCTACAGGCCCGGAAAGCTGCTCTGATTGTTGTTGCACCTCAGCCAATACAGCAAGAAGCTTCTGGGAGCTGCAACGCTCAAACGTTTCTCATAAGACTTTCGAAGGTCCTGGGGTATCCCACGACCACGAGAAGCGCAGAACGATCCTTTCCAAATCATCACACACATCTATGGCAGCCACCATCAGTGACTGTTCTGGGAAGGATTGTAACCATGGAGAAAGTTCTTGCCAGTTTGATAAGTTAGACCTGCCTTCACTATCTCTCAACAACAATGATTCCGATGATCAAAGCACAGGCACCCCGTTCATCAACGAAGCCGACCTCGACCACTCTATGTCTAATGTAAAGCACGTCATCGTAAGTGTGCAGGAAATGGACTGCATATCCTGTGAAGAGAAACTACGCCGAGCAGTCGTTTCTATTCCGGTGATCTCCAATATCAAAATCAGCTTGTTTCTTTCTCGGGCATAATTCCACCTACTTGAGACGCTTGCATACAATTGCGGCATTATCTCCAGACTAATCCACAACCGGACAGGATTTACATGCACAAGGATTCATCAAGCGGGTGCCGTGGTAAATCTGACCGTGGCAGGCGACCCACGGAGACTCATCCACGATTACCCTCATGGAGTCACACATGTGAGCATTGCCAAGGGAAAGGGCAACATTGTTCAGGTTTACTATCAACCTAGAATTATAGGTTCCAGGTACTCTTTACTCCTAAGTTAAACACCCTCTTTGGGTGGGACATTATACTTAGTCAATGATCATCCTGAATAAACAACACTGACTGCGAGTTACACATTCATGTAGGGCTCTTCTTTCCAATCCCTTCTTCCTCGGCAAAAACCTGGCCCCTCCATCTCAATCACAAGAAATTACTTCAAACAGGTCCCACTCAATAAGACCGCTGGCAAGACGCTCATTCCGGTATTTTTGACACTACCTGTACTCGTGCTGGCTTACGCCCCTTTACCAAAGCACCAATTGCTCTTTGGAGCCATTTCCCTATCATTAGCGGCAATCGTCCAGTTCACCATAGTGGGTTCCTTCTATCAGCATGCTTTCAAGACTTTGTTTTACTTCGGTATGATAAAGATGGACATGCTTGTTGTGTTTAGTACCAGTGCTGCCTACATTCACTCGGTCATTGCTTTCGCCTACCAAACAGCGGGACAACCTTTGGCGATTGGAGAATTCTTTGAGACCAGTACACTTCTCGTCACTCTCATAATGGTTGAAAAAACTGTGAGTGTCTTTGCCCACCAAAAGGCACTACAATCCATATCGATCGAGTCATTGCAAACGCATTTTGCGATTGTTGTCAATCCCACATCCGAACAAGAACAAAAGATTGATGTGAGTCTTCTCGAATCCGACGATGTCTTCCGAATATGATTACCGGCGAGAGAAATTGTGTTGCCAAGGAACCTAGAATGTCAGTTGTAGCAGGCTCACTTAATCACACCGGGACCCTTACTGCAAAAGTCACCCGCCTACCGTACGAGAATACTATCAAATTGATTGGATCGATGGTCGATGAAGCAAAATCAACGAAGCCAAAAATCCAAGAGATCGCAGATCGTGTTGCGGGATATTTCGTACCCGCCATACTCGGTATCACAGTTATAAGTTGCCCTCGAGGTATAAAATGTTGCTTTGCGACCTTTGATACCTACATACGACAGGAAGAGCTCGTTTTCACTTCGTTAAAAGTCAATAATAGTCGGATCGGTTCTTATCAATGAAAGATATTGTTTGTTACTTATAACGACGTGGATGTTTGGTTTGCTTCACACCTTCTCTTTCCAAGTTGGAAAGACAACTAGTTGGCTTGGCCGATAAACCGATCCGTTGCTCCTGTTCTCAATTGCTGATTTTAGACACAACAAGGTCAATCTACCATCTAACATTCCAAGGCTGATGGAGCTGTAGTAATGTACTTGTATGGAGTGCAATCTGCTGACACAAGATGGCGGCGGAGGATCGGACCATGGGTTATTGACCCCTGCAAAGCCTAACCAGTACGCCCTCTCATTGGCCTATTTGAAAAAAAGCTAACGGACAATGGAAATTATATCCGGGTCTCATCCTTCACAACATCACAAAGTGATTTTGTTGAAACCTCTCCTTGTCCTAATAAAGCACTTCTTTTGGGTTTCTTCTCCGATCCTCCATTGCTAGTTCTTCGGAAGTTCAAGATGTCCGCTACCCCACCAAACCAGACAGCTACTCCATCGTTAGAAAATGGGACCAAAGCTGCGGCTTCCGGTACTAGGCCTCTGGCGCCAAAAGCAAGTAGACAGAGATTCAAGCCGCAGCTCTCTTGTACGTTTTGCAGGACCGGGAAGTAAGTGGTTCTGATATTCATACGTTCCCCTAAATTTATGATTTTCTCGTCGTGTGCGCAAATCGGCTTAAATCCGGCTACGGAGATTGTGGACCATCACTAACAAGTCGCAGACTCCGCTGTGATAGAAATCTCCCATGCCAAAATTGCATCAAGAGGGACTTATCTGCGTCGTGTACTTATACCCATGCCAACGCCCGTCGTGATAGGGCGACGCCAACTCACAAATCCAGTGCAACTGGCAAATCCAAAGATGTTCAAAGCCAGATATCTCATCTCGAAGAGCTTGTCATTACTTTAATGAGCAAAACCAACCGCAATGGCAATGGCAATGGCAATATCAATAGCAATGCTTCACTGGAAAACAGCACTCCACTTTTGCAAGAGAAACCTAGAGCTTTGGAGGACCAGTGGACGGAGGTTCATGGCGTCAAGGAAGCCGAGAAATTTTTCGGTAGGATTAACATGGAAGATGACCAGCCAAACTATGTTGGGAGCACTCATTGGGCAGCTATTCTCGACAATGTCGGTCATTCTCTCCCAAGTTTTGTCAGCTTATGAGTCTGACTAAGGCGCTTCATGCTGACTAGATACGTTTATAGATCGCGTGCTTGAAGGATCAATTTGGAAACTTTGAGCCGTTTGTCGAGGAAGAGACACACCAGCAAAGCCCAGAGCCAATTTCAAAGGGTCCTGACTTATTAGTTGGCGGCTTGGCAAAGGCTACAAGAAGCGAGATACTGGCGTCTCTGCCCTCGAGGTCATTTGTCGACCATCTAGTGCGGGAATACTTCGAAAGTGCAGATATGGGAGCTGGTAATACTATCAACCCCATTTAGCTGCAAAGGCATATTTCTGATTCAACATACAGCAATGTTCCATGCACCAACATTTATGAAAGAGGTAAATATGTCCAAGATAAAGCATCCGACTAATTCACTTACTGGCAATGACAGTATGAAACTTTCTGGGCGAACCCTACCAACACACCTATAATGTGGATTGGGTTGCTATTTGCAATATTATCCCTGACAGCTTACTTCCAGATGATGACTGAAAGTAGCTCCTTCGGTGACTTTCCCGAAATGGCTCTAAGAAATCCGGTTGAAGCTATTGGTGTATTCAGAGAAAAGACTGTCCAATGCCTCATACTCGGCAACTACACCGAGCCTGGCCCTCACACGGTAGAAACTCTCTTGCTTTATTACATCATCGAGCACTTTCGGAGTCCCGATACACAATTCGGCGCTTGGCTAGTGTTTGGGCTCGTCATTCGAGCCGCCATGAGGTTGGGTCTTCATCGCGATGCTTCGCACTATCCAGCGATATCTGTGTTCCGAGGAGAAATGCAGCGCCGACTTTGGGCCAGCATAATCCACCTGGATCTTCACAATTCTTTGCAAGTTGGACTCCCCAGAATGATTAAAGACGGGATGTATGACACTAAAGCTCCCCAACCCCTTTCCGACGATGACTTCAACGACAATGCGAAGGTTCTGCCACCAACCAGACCAGAAGGCGATTCTACCCCTATGGCATTTTCTAACACCAAATACCAAATAACGCAAATTTTTGGGGAGATTGTGGACCAAGCCAACTCAACATACCAGATTTCTTACGATGCAGTCATGAGACTAGACACAATTTTGCACAAAACCCATGAAGAGACACCCGACATCCTCAAGATCCGCAGTATCGAAGACCTTGCGTTTGGAAGTCCGGACAATAGAGTCCGGAAATTCTCGATTGACCTGACCTTCCAGAAAGCTCGATGTATTCTTCATCGCAAATTCTTTATACTCTCAAAAGCGACGGGGACCTATCCGTACCCATATTCCACGAAAACATGCATCGAAGCATCTATGCGAATACTCGAGTGTCAAATTTATATGGACGGTGAGACGGGACCTGGTAGAATCTTGCATAAGCAAAGATGGAAAGCATCGTCACTGGTCACGCACGACTTCCTCCTCGCAGCAATGCTAATATGTCTTTACCTGGGACAAAGTATTGGACTAGCGCATGAGAACCAGATTGACCACTCTGGAATACGGTTGAAATGGACCCGGGAGAACATGCTACAAACAATCAATTCATCGCACCAGATATTCGAAGCACTTAGTGGTACCTCTAAAGAGGCGCTAAAAGCTTCAAAAGTTTTGAATAGCATGCTCACTAAAGTTGGAGCAGCTGGTTTGGTACCTTCTGGTAAGGGGCCCACAGTCGAGTCTTCTCGCCCAGTGCTCAACAGCGTCTATGTCACGTCAACACCGGGTGAGTCACTTGAGCTGTTCCGATAAGTGCCTGGATAACTGATGGGTCTATATTTAGGCTGGGGTGAAACCGGACAGACATCCCAGAATTATCAACTGCCAGAACCCTCGGTGCCTTGGTCGAACACACCTTATGCGAGCCAGGATGGCCCTGTTGACATGAGCACGATCCACCATTCTCCTGACATCAACGAGAATGCCCCTCCAACAACTGGAGAACTCAATTGGGTTAGTAAAGCCAGCGAATTTGAAAATACCTCATCAAATTATCCATCTATCAAAATACCCACTACCAAACCCATCAGCGATCACTTTCCGCTCTCGTACTAACAACGTATTTTTAGGAACTGTGGGATAACCATTTCTATAACAGCAGCGGCCTAGACCAAACACCACCTGACCTGTGGAATCTCGATTGGCAGAATCTATCATACACGGATCTTCCGGATCCCTCCAATGCACGTATGCAATAGAACCAGTGACTACAGATGACTCCGTGCAGTAGGTTGCTTCAGACCAGGTCAAGGATTGCTAGATTAAGGTGGTGGGGCGATATCTTGGCGAAAAGCTTGATTATTGGTGTATTATGGGGAAAGGCGGGGGGACAGGGGTGAAGCAGCGGGGCGGTCATGTACTTCCGGGAAGTCTTGGCGAGAGACCGGCAACGAACTGCCTTGCATATGCATGTGCATGTGCATGTACATGTACATGTATTCGTATGGTATGGGGGCGCAGCCATATAAAATTGACTACTTATGGCGAATTGGACACGAGATAAGAAGTTCACGTAATACTGTACCTGTAGGTAGGGAGTCCGGGAAGAAACTCTAACGAGTCGCAAGAAATTCCTAATCAAGCTTAAAGGATCTGCGAACATACGAATCTAAGGTTTTTGTGAGATCAGAAATTGCCGGAAGACTTGGCAGTATCGTGTAGGGGGTTATAATACCGGAGAGATCTCTTTGTTGAGTTTCCATTATCAAATTGTATACAATACATGAACAACCGATACATAAACCGCAGCGATTGAAATGTTGTTGGTATATAAATAGAGACCAAACGAAAAGCTCACGGGCAACATATAGACATGCCCTGCTGACGTCTTCCTGGGATACCCCACATTCACTAGCCATCACCATCCCAGTGAAAACAGCATTATCGAGAGCGAGAACAGGGTCAAGCTCTACATTGCCCGAACTATCACCGACTGTTACATTGCTGACTTCAAGAAGACGCATGAACTACAGCGATCTCACGCCCTTTTCCTCCACTTTTCAAGGGGGCCGACGGTGCCATGGCCGATGATAGGGACAGAATAGCCCACCCATAGCTTGAAAGAGGGGTACGGAGTACGAGAACGTACGGAGCTCGAATTTCCCATGTACCCGCAATACCTTCATTTCGGAAGAGCAAGGAAGCTGCTTGAAGATGGGGTTGGGGAGGGGAGGGCAGGAGGATATATATTAAAGCGATGGGATCCCACTGGTTGGTTTCAATCATCGCCCAAGTATTCAACGTTTCTGAAAGACAAGCAAGCTCCTGAAACTCTCCATTGACAACTACCTCCACAATGGCTCCTAAAGCCCTCCACACCCTGACAGCTCTGCTAGCTAGTGCAAGCTTCTCGCAGTATGCCTTTGGTGCCCCTACAGGGACGTCGACGGCGGCGGTACCAACTGCTCTTCTGGGTTATAACCCAGCCAACGTGGTGAAGAACGATGATACAGACGACATCAAATATACCCTTGTGCCTGGCCAAACAGATGCTGCAGTGGTGGGTACGTATCTTGACTTTACCAATGTCGAGAATCCCCAACCGGTAAGTCAAGAGTCGAATTTGTTTTGCCTCCGGAATTCTTGTAAAGCACGAGACCCACGTAGGTCTAAGATCTGTAGAGCACTGCGCTGACACATTATCAGATCCGAGGAAGCAAAGGTGGAACTGATCCAGGACCACAAACGGACGAATATTCTCAATTGAACCCCGATAAACTCGCACCGCCTGGGACAGACCATGGAAGCGTGGATAACGCTCAGTGGCCTTTAGGACTCAGCCACGCGAAGCTGGGGCTTAACAGGGGTGGGTGGTCAAGACAGCAGAACATTGATAATATTCCAGCAGCGACCGCCATGGCTGGTGTGGATATGAGGTTAGAGGAAGGGGCTTATCGAGAGCTCCATTGGCACAAAGCTGCAGAATGGTCGTATGTTTTGAATGGTAGCGTGAGAGTCCAGGCCGTGAATGAAAAAGGGGAGACTTTCATTGATGACTTGAATGCAGGCGACGTGTAAGTGGCCCGTCTGAGAAGCTTATGCATTGGCGATGCTGACGATTTGATGTGTAGTTGGTTCTTTCCCCCGTTCGTACAGGTCTTCTTTGAAATATTGACATAAGCTAACGAGGAGTAGTGGTGTTCCACATTCCTTGCAAGCCCTGGCAGGAGGCGTTGAGTTTCTTCTCGTTTTTGATGACGGCGAGTTTTCCGAGGATAATACATTCCTAGCCACAGAAGTTTTCACCCGTAATCCCGTCAGTAAAGCTCTTGCTCGATAATTCAAGCCATGCTAACTTCCATAATCAGAAAGAAATCTTGTCCAAGAACTTCGACGTTCCTCTCTCTGCTTGGGATAATATCCCATCAGGAGAACTCTTCATTTTCCCAGGAACCAAAGCACCCACAGATATATCCAAGCAAACCATTGTCGGCTCCGCGGGTATTCTGCCGAGACAAGACTCATACACCTATCATCTGTCCGAGCAGGGTGCAACATTTGACCTCGAAGGAGGCAACATCAAAATCCTCGACCCAACGATGTTTCCAATTGCATCCATGTTTTCCGTGGCGATTGTAACAGTCAAGCCAGGAGCGCTTCGCGAAGTTCACTGGCACACTGAAAGCGATGAGTGGAATTACTTTATCGCAGGTTCAGCGCGGATCGGCATATACGCCGCTGTTAACAATGCGCAGACTTTCGACTTCCATGCGGGAGATACGGGATACATCCCCAAGCAAATGACGCATTACGTTGAGAATGTTGGGAAGGATGACTTGATGTTTATTGAGGTGCTTCAGGCGGATCATTTCTCTGGTGATTATGCCCAATGTTTTTGGTTATTGAGTAAAGCTGACTGGAATAGACATGTCGCTGGGGCAATGGCTTGGGTCAACCCCGCCACAGATTGTTCAGGACACATTGAATTTGACCAATACAACGGTTTCAGCTTTCAAAAAGGAGAAGCAGTATATTGTCTCCGGGGATGTTGTTGAATAGCTCGATGCATGCTAGCGGGCAGTGAAAGCCGAGATTGTCTTCTTGGGTAGCCTTCGAAAAGCTACACCTCGACCCTAATCTAGCATCTAGCTGTCTTCTCAACGGTCTTATTAATCTATCCTCTCTGAATATTGGTGGCACAGCTAGTCCGTTAGAACTATCTTGAGAATATTTTGCGAGTAATTCTTACCAAGATTCAGTCTCAAGCCCCAATGTTCTCGTGTTGTTTTAATCGGCTAGAGCCCACGCTTCTGACGTGCCACTGAAAGAAGCTTCATGTGCAACGAGGACGACGACCAGACCTAATATGACAGCAGTGCGACAGTGTTGTATTGCTTTTAGTTCAGCTACTGCACTTCGGGAATTTTGCGATGTCCATGTTGCAAAACTCCAGATCTCCACCTAGAGCTGAACCGCCGCCAGAAATATGTCATAATTGTCACGCGAATCCTTGCTGGGCCTTACACTAAAAGCCCCATACTTCCCATTTCATTCCTGACCTTGCCCAGCTCGTCAAACATATCTTTTGCCCGGCCTTTCACATCTTCAGCTGCTGCCCGTGAAAGGGTGCCCTGGTCATCAATCCTCATGGAAAATGACTCGCCAATATCCTGACCCTGTACTTCGGTTGCAAGGTCTGCAGCATAGCTGGAAAGCTGAGAGGCAAAATGGACGAAGAGAAGCATCTGCATCGGGATAGCAGACGATGGTGGGGGCCTGTAAGATCCAACTCGGAGTTGAGGCACAGAAAATGTTGCCTGTATTTGTCCTGGGGTATGTGCAATGCCTTTCTGCTCCGCGCAGACTTTCATATGCTTGAACAAATGTTGATAGATACCTATGAGGCGTAAGTGACACGAGAGCATAAGCAGAATCGATGAATGGTCTGGAGGGGCTTTTCGGGAAATTCTGCTTGACTCTTGTGCTGGTTCATCGTTGGATCTCTGATTCTGTGGGGTCGAGGCATTTGTTCCAGTAGACCCACCGCTGCTTTCGGTCATTGAATCTGGACTTGAAGCCTGGGGTGATTGTGACCCAAAGAACGTATTCAAGAAACATGGGTATACATCGATGACTGATTGTGTCAATTGGAACAACTCATCGACGCTGTAGCTAGAATAGTCCTTCGTAGCGTCCGTAGGTCCAGGGTCATGGATTGATAGAGGAGGCATATGCTCACTGTGATCAAACAGACGAATACTCAAATCCGAAAGGTCTCGAATCAGATCGCTCTGTGTGGTTTAGAGATTCAGTGCCATGTCCTTCAAAATTTCGGCAAGATTACATATGAAAATGTTAAGTGAGACATTTGGAGTGATTATTTAGAACTCACTAAATATCTCTTACTAGATATGAAAGAGATGTTTGTTGTCGACTTACAGTGGATTCAGGTGTGTCTGTTGTCGCCGCGGAGTCCCAACCATGTGCTAGAACATGAGAAATGGATCGAGGGCCAGCTTGACCAACAATCCAGCTTATATTGGACACTGGCTGGGGTGGGGGCGACTCTTTTGGAAACTGAAGCAAATTACTTTCTTTAGGCTGCTGCCACTGAGGACTGTTCGATATGATGGGGTCCATATCAAGGGACATGGATGGATTTTGACTCCCAACATTGGTATCACCAAATGTGTAGTTAGAAGTAAAGTCTTGACCAGGCGTCAAAGACTCCAAGGGCCACTCATCGTTCATCATATTGTGTCCAGATTGCTCAAAATCGGGGAGCGAGCATCCAAACAATATATTTGGGTCAATATCTACCAACTAGATTAGCCAATGAGCAAACATATGAGTGTCATTTAAGTAAGAAGATCTGCGTTTAGGCATGACAAAGATCCACATTTAGACTCTTAGCGGTTCTTGATCATCCACATGCGAAGCAAGACCACAGTAACATGGTCCAAAGACTATGGAGAGATGTAAATCTTACCGATGTTCTCAAAGTTGCTGTTGACCCGCTTCCGCTTATTGCCGTTCGAGAAGCTCTCATAAACATTCTCGGTTGGAAATGTAGTGGCAGGGATCTGAGAGCTGACAGTAGCAGATGAAGGATCCTCTGGGGAAGGCTTCTTCTGTCTAAAAGGGCTGAAAATGCATGAAGTTCGAGCTTTGACGCATCTGTCACATGTAGCTTCACCTGGACGCCGAGGGCAACGCAGTTTTTGAGAGTGGCATCGGTCGCAGGCCGAACGCCTCCTAATGTCGTCGCCCATGGTTGGACTAGGCGGGCCTCAAATAAGAAGGAATTAATTGAGCAGCAATTTGGCTCTGCAATTGGGTCTTGAATTTTCGGAAAATATCAGTGGCCTATTGGTATTCCACCAATTCGGTGTGAGCGAAGTTGTATCAATGAGGAGCTTCATGTTGCAGCGTGTCCTGGACGTGTCGACAGTGAAGGATTCGGCGTTCGTTTCAACGAAATTCGGTCTTCGCTTGTGCCATTATACAAGCGTGGGAGTGAGAATACTAACGGCATTTCAGCTCTATTGGGTGGCACGTGAACAGAAAGTACTTTTATAGTAATGATTCACAGTTTTATAAATTCAAGTACTTCCTCGCTACCCAAATTTTGGGACTCGGCGTTCAAAGCATGCTGCTTCTTTTTGCATTGTCTTGCTCTCTCCAAATGCTACGATCGTGACCCAACTTTTGAGCTCACGGCATCCGTACGCAAATACTATATGCAGGTCCCAAGTTATTCAGGATCCTGGCCTAATCCTGACAGCCCATGTGGAGCTGTGTTCAATACCCCTCCGAAAGTTTTAAGGTAAAAATATGAACTTTCTTTTGAACATAGACTAGTGTGACCACTGCTTTACAAGAGAGAGGTTTTAGACACCAGTGACTGTATAGGTAACCTGGTCCTCGATGATGGCTCTGAGTCGGTCCAAAAAGCTCAACCCCTTCGAAAGTTTCCGAACTAACGTACATGATTTGTTCTTCGCCGCGGCATACTAATTGCTATGCTCTCAATACATGAACGAATAATCATTCGGCTTCACAAATCCCCTAGGTTACTCACGCCGACGAACATTCACAAGTATCCACGAAAGTATAATACAACAGTGTTGGGTGACCTCACGTATTACCTGAAGATACCTAGAACCTGCCCAACTAATTCATCATGGCTCCCGGGCCTAGCAAAGACAGCGAACCTTCGCGCCGACCGACCTTTTCATATCAGTTACCTCCACCGTCCGGAACTCGAAAAAGTCAAGCAGCGGGGTCTTCTGCGACAACAAACGGTACTGATGTTGATGATAGAGGAAAGAATAAGCAACGTGAAGTTCTTGGTTCACGTTCCCGTACGCAGACCAGCATCGCTCAGCTTCCAAGCATACTTCCTCTCTCCTCAACAAGCAGCATCCGTCCTTACTCAACAATCTCACGTCCCCAAACCGTCCTGCGCCGACCAACGGAGGACCACCCGTTAGGTGACAACAGCCGCACGTTCATCGAAGGCATGATCCCTAAAACAGTGTATAATCGCGATATCAGAACCCAAGCCGGCTTTTTCCCGGATCCAACCCAACATCTTAGCACAGATCAGCGAGACGCCGTTACAGCAAATAGGACAGCAACCCTAGCCCCGCCAGTCTCACGTGCTCCACCACATGTGAGGAGCATCCTCACCAGCCCCATGGATGAATACATGGCGCGCCTGCAGACTCGCTTGCCCACCCTCTCGGCACGCGCCCTCCAAGAGCAAGACATCTAGGCACGCACACAACTGCTGCGTTCAGGCGTCTGTCCGCAAGGCTACGCCTGGGACAAGTCAGATGACTTTGGTGGAGGCTATCTGTGTCAGGGGCACAAGCATTTTGTGAGTAACCAATTGCTGGCCGATGGGCAGGGTGGGGTCTTCTTGTGGGCGGGCTGGCCCGAACCAGAGGAGATATATGGTCCGTATTACAGGGATGAGGGAGATGCGGGGTATATGGTGTATGAAGGGGTGGAGCCGAGGGATGGGTATGCGCCGGAGATATTTCGCGCACTTGGAGGTGTGCAGGTGGAGAATAAGGGTGTGATTGGAACGGCGGAGCAGTTAAGAAGGATGGATATTGGTGGCGGCAGTCGTTCAGGGACGTCTGATTATGTGAGTCGATTACCGGGAGATGGGTAAAGACCGTTTCGGCTTCTTGATGAGTTTCATATCTCAACGCGACTTAGAAATAGCATCTGTATTTGTCAGCGAAGGTTTAATAGTATCTGAAATATGAGGAAGAGAGTATTGATAAGTTACTGCGTTAAAAACTGTCAAGTTGACGTAAATAGACGACGTGAAGGAATCTGGCAGTATGAACCCAACATGAAAATAATGATTAACGATCCTTTTCAGTTCGGATCTGTCCGATCTAAAGACAATAGACACGAGCCGATTTTACGTCCTCTGATCTGGAGTCTGATCTGGACTTGGCAGGATTTGACTAAACTTGGCAAAGCTTGGAACAACCCCGATTTGGCAGGTATTAACAGTGTGCCTCGATTTCCCTCCATCTACACTACGTGACCTGCCCAATACATAAGTGCGAGCCCACTATCAACTTCTCAACTTCTCCAGTGCCGGGCTTAGCATCTTGGCATTCGAGCTGGTGATATTCAAGCAGCTTCCTGAAGCAGAAGGCAAAGCGCGTTGACAAAGCTATTTGCTTCCTAGTAGAAGGACTTCCAAAGTGTATATATAATTGCAATAGACTGGTTTTCTGATCAATTCCCATGTTCACCGCCGGGCAATATGAAATTCTCATCTCTGTACTGTATCGCGGGCCTCGCGCCACTTTTGTCTTCGGCATGCCTCCTCCCCGAGGAGCAGGAGGGACTACCAAGGCTGGCACGCCGCCAATCATCCGGTAATGGTATCGCCATCGCAACTGGCGACCGCTACAGCTCTGGCACCATAGCGCCACGAGGGCTAGGGACACAAACCACGACGCTAACGTCGCTTTTGAACGTCAAGGAAATCGCAAGCGGCTTGAAAGGGCTCGCGAGTGTGTACGGCATCTCAACCTTCACGACTCCGTACACTACCTATAAAGGAGCAAGCATCGCTGGTGGCAAAGTCGGAGGAAATGGAACGTGCAACGACGCATACCGCGTGTACTTGAACTCCGCTATCCACGCGCGAGAGCGAGGAGCCTCGGATGGTCTCTTGTTCTTTATTGGCGACCTGCTGTACGCCAACAAGAACAATGTCGGCCTCAAGTATGGCTCTAAATCTTACACCCATGCTCAGGTAGTGTCAGCTCTGTCAACTGGGATAGTCTTTGTGCCGCTGAGCAATTCCGACGGCGTAGCGTATGATCAGTCTTCAAACAGCTGCTGGCGCAAGAACCGTAACCCCGCGTCATCCACAGGTTCTTCTGATTCCATTGGCGTGGATTTGAATCGTAACTTCGACTTTGTGTGGGACTTCACCAAAGAATTTGCTTCTAGCGCTAGGTCTAGCGTTGCCTCCACCGACCCTTCTGATGAGACTTATCATGGTACGCTGATGGCTCTAGAATTCTCCCAATTGAAGTGAATTGCAAGCTAATTTCCGACTCTCAGGTACCAGTGCCTTTTCTGAACCTGAGACGCAGAGCATCAAATGGATCACGGATACCTATAGCAAAATCCGCTGGTTCCTCGATCTGCACTCGTATGCCGGAGATGTCTTGTATAGCTGGGGTAGCGATGAAAACCAGTCGAAATATCCCACCATGAACTTCCTAAACTCTCAATACGACAGTGTTCGGGGTATTTTGACTGATACGCCAGGTTCTGGTAACGGATATGGCGAATACAGCCCAACTAATGAGAGCAGTGGTAACCTCAATGCCGCAACACGAATCGGTAGCGCCATGAGCACCGCCGCCGGGCGCGACTATTCCGTGTTCCCTGCTTCGAACCTATATCCGACTTCAGGAGCGAGTGATGACTACCATTACTCACGCCATTTTGCTGATACTTCATTGAATCTCGTTCATGCCTATACGGTCGAGTTTGGATTCGGGAATGATGATGCTTCGTGTCCGTTCTACCCCAGTCAATCGCAGCACAATCAGAACATCAAGGAGATTGGTGCGGGGTTCATGGAGTTGCTATTGGCGGCGGTTGATGTGGGCGTTGGAGATCCAGTGACTTGTTAGAGACGAAGATCTTTTGGTGAGAGCCAGAGAGGATGATGCGGAGTGTGTTGGTCATTTTCACCGTAATTTCAAGGACAATACCTAGCATGAAAGCCATCTTAATGTAATGCAGGCCACTTGGCAAGTGAAGAATGTAAAGTGCAGAGTATTCCTCAGGGACTTGAAAACAGGGAAACAAGTGGACCAAAATGTGAAGACTCTTTCCGTGGAAGAAGTCAAAACGAGATCAACTCCAACCAGCATGGAGTCACGCGAGTAATCTTGGTAACGAAAGACAGGTGCTTATCGGGTCGAGGACATAGCACTGTAGACTGATTAGAACTCGATTTTGAAGGAGAGGTGTGGTCGAATTAGGTTGGAAATCTAAGGCGCCTCGCTTATATGAACGGAAGTATACTCTTTCACGTGATATAAACAAGACTCCAAGTACCTAGGTAGCTTCCAAAGTCAAGAACGCAAGTGAGCCTTCATTCCACTGGGTATAAAGGCCCACGAGAAATATTAAGTATCTCAGCGGGGTCAAATCCGATACTCTCGACCAGGCATCGTTATCACGTGAGTCCAGGAAATGCATATGTTGAGGTTGAATATGACCAGACATGACTCGTGGGCTACATGAGATGCGACTCGATCGACGGTCTGAATACTATGAAGAGAGCTGGGCAGAGCTTTTTCAAAGCTCAAAATGAGATGTAACCCCGCAACAACAACACGGGAAAAGCCATAAACCGTCACTTACCGGTACAGTACCCCTCAATAACTCGACTGCGACATGCATGCTTCCCCCAATAGGAGTGAGATGCTCTGTGAAGAGAAGAATAGGATAGCATTAAAGCATTCAGGTGCATTTGCACTTTTGTGTTCCCATTTGACGTTCAGATCAGAAGATATTTCATCTCCCCATTCCTCATGCACATGAGTGTGGCTAGCCTCGCTTCTCCACTTAAAGCTAGATAATGCCCATCCTACAAGCGATTATTCATCATGAAAGCAAAAGTAGTGAAGACGCCGAACACTCCCGAGAACTCCGATTCTTCTCCAACGGGGAACTCACGCCTCCATTTACTCCATTGACATCCTTCGACTGTCCTGGAACCAGTTCCACCATGAGTGAGGGCAACCAGGTGCCGCCTAACGACTCTCTCACCTCTCTCACCCCGGATGAGGCAAACAAAATCATCCATTCGCACAGAAAAGTGAGATATGGTGAGCTCGCGATGTCTTTCCTGAATATCCAGTCCAGCGCCCCCTTCAGAGGCTAAATCTTCTCGTACCTCCGCAGGCACCGCATGCTGGCCTTGCAGGCAACGCAAGGTAAAGTGTGACAATAAACATCCGTGTGAGAATTGTGTGAAACGAGACCATGCCAGTCTTTGCTCGTACAATCCGAAGCAGAATGCGACAAAGCAAACAGCATCTGTAGCAGGAAACAAGAGACCAAGGTCGCCGGGAAGTGCAAGCTCTTCTAGGAAAGAAGATGACAGGTGGCCGAGAACAACCGGTGAGTCCCATAATCTCTAACCGCGATATTGCATATCTTATCCCGGCGAAGGCTCGGAGATGGTCATTGGGTGCAATGTCCACTACCCCAGACCCCACATGTCGTGCGGTATCGTGTCACCAGTCGTGCACTACCATATACTCTTCTATTCCCGAGTTGCTCCGGGGGTTTGCAGCTAATGATAGCTCAGATGAAGATGACCCCAACGAGTCCCGGTATCTTGGCCAAAACAGCATTGCTGCCTTCCTCAGTGAGGAGGCGAGGGCCGGTCAAACATCAGGAGATGGCGAGCAAGATGTCATTCGAAAAGATATAATGCCCATTTTGGGGCTGCAAATATCAACCTCGTCGTATCCATTTATGTCCAAAGAACACATGGACAAGGTTAAGGAAGACATCGCTGCGGCGTTACCTTCAGATAGAGACGTTCTAAAGTAAGTGATATGATATCCAATGGTCTGTCTTCAGGCTTATACCTTGATCGATATCGCCTACTGAGCTGACGCCGCGCCCAGGACTTTCCAAATCTACAAACAGATAGTCCAACCCTTCTGGGGTCTTCTCATAGATATCGAGGACTTCGAATCGAAGTTGTGTATCTACCTCGAGGACCGAAGTGCTACTGCGAAGCATCCTGCCAATGGCGGCAAGGGAGTCTCCTCTGCCTGGTTGGGAATGCTGTTCGCGGTACTCGCAGTTGCAACTAATTATACAGAATTGTCCTATCACAAGCGAGTTGCTACATCCCAAGCCTTTGGTATGTCAGTTGTGTCCTGTGCAAATTTGTTCTGACATCCATCTAGTCCAGGCGTCATTCCACTGCTTGAGGCTTTCAAACTTTTTGATCCGCCCCTCATTAGAATCACTCCAGGCACTCCTAATCCTTGGATTTGTTCTGGCAAACGACATGAAAGCAGAAGCATCTTGGGCTCTGATAGGACTCACTTGTAGACTTGCCCAAGCACTTGGACTTCATCGAGGCCCTCATGAAAATGCACGGGTTCCTCAACCAACAGCCAGCGATCTACCTAGAAGGAAGCTTTGGTGTGTACTCTTGTTTTGCTTTCTAGAATTTTGCTAATATATGTAAAGGTGGACAATTGTGTGGCAAGATAGCTTACTCTCGCTTTCATTTGACCGCTCACCCATTGCCATGATGACACGATGTCAGTTGCCACTAGGACCTACTGCGGATGAAGGCTGGTCATACACCGAGGCAATGTATCAACTTTGCTCGAAGATCCTCGAGTCCGTGAACAACGACAGCAACGCCGATCCGGATTTCAATCAGATTATCAAAGACTCCCAGGAAGTAGAAAATATCCGTCAACAAGTTTGCCCCCAATTTCGACACAAAGATTCTTGCAAGACTGTGCAAGATCGGCTGCAGTATTTTGCCGTCCGCCTTCACACTGCTTTTGTTGTGTCCGTCTTGTGCAGACCTGCTCTCCGCCGTGGAGAGATAATTGGAATGGATGTTGCGCAGAAAGAGATGCTGGCTGCAAAATGCAAGCAAAATCTGACCGAGACAGTGCGCATGTATCTCAAAATGCACTCCTTGAGTGTCATTCCAACTCGGTCTTGGGCTTTCACCTACCACGGCTTATCATCTGCAGTGCTACTTGGCATCCTGGGCGAGACGAAAACAGATCCAGAAGTGAGACAGCTGCAAGGAGACCTGATATCAGCACTCTCAACTACAGCTGCGAGAGACCAGACTTCGATGCATTTACCCCAATCCGAAAAGGATATCGAGTTGAGTGGTCCGCTATCTCGTGCCCTGGCGGCATTGAAAAACATCTATGACCACGGTTGGGTCGTTGAAGGACAGCCCGGGAATAGTCTCGACCCCAACCCCGCGCAGAATGAAAATCAATTTCAATTTCAGCAACAACAAAATGCGGCCCTTGCGATGGCTTCAATGCAGAATGGCCTATTGCCTCCGTAAGTTTCCCCCCATCTTTGAACATGACTTAACACTGATAACTTTCAGCATCGATTATAACCAACAACTGATGCCGTCGGGCATGGCTTCTCCTCAAATCGTCGACCAGACAATGAACATGTCACCGATGGATTTGTTTGACTCTATATTTTGGGGTAAGAAATTTTTCTTTGGAGCCTCCTGAATTGTAGCTAACGAATAATAGATCCCTATCCATACAATGGCGTAGATGTAGATCAGCTCGGGGGGTTTGATTATACGCAACCACCATTATACCCTCAATTCTAATGTATGAATCAAAAAATCAAAAACTTCAAACATAGGCACTGAGCTATTCGGTTTTGAAAAACTCGTGGACATAGAATATCCGTACGGCTTCCAGCTATGCAATCAAAGTGAAGGCAGCCTTTTTAACAAATGTCTCAATAGACCAGGCGAAACCTCCTCCCCTAGTTCCAATGACCAGAACAGCACCCCACAAGTCATCGGATGTTCACTATTCAAAATTCCTTTATCCGCATTTTCATTTTTCGCGGCTGATGGGGCTGAATCCTGTGGGATCCAGCTCCATGATCCAGGTTAGATCGTATACCTATGAACAAATCCTCTGCATTTTCAGTTTTCCCTATACTGTATAAAAAGTGGGTCCATCCCATGGCGGGGAAATCCCACGCCAAGCTGAGTTTATCTTCAAAACGACACTACTCTTGAGTATCATTTCCCCACCCTCTACAGGTCCCTCTTCGTTTCACTTTTTGAAAATCCTGGAGTATCGTTTTCTCCCGGGTATATTTTGCTACAGAAAGATCACTTGGATAGAGTTTGCAGGTAATCTTTGCCCCGCTACGACCCCTCACCCACCTGCTTCTTTCGGACCGGCAATCTGGGCCGATCATCAAACCTAAAGGCTCAACCAGCCATTAGAAATCCGAAAGCCGCATTACAGACACTATGAGTCCTGAGATGCCGATCGATATTCCGGAATCAAGACTGTTATCGCCCGTCGATTGGCAACGTTGCATCTCAAGTGCAGACACGTGATGCACAATGAGGGGTTCCAGGGTAATACAAAGCTCCTGCTCTCGTACCTTGGTCTGGGTTTGCTCTCTTTCACTCGTTGGCTGTATAGACGTGAGAGAAGAGACACCAGCCAGTCCAAGTGCTGGGCAACAGAGTCTCGGGATGCGGGGCGTGAAGCAATACACGCTAGGGCTGGCCGCTACATTGGGTATCGATGTTTCGCAGGCCTTCAATGCTCCTTCTGATGTACCGACATGGTGTGGGAAGCCGTATATGAGTTCGTGAGTAGACAATCTTTTCCCCGCGAAACAAATGCTGATTTGGAAGCTAGAAATGACTCCCTTGATCCAGGAGGGCAGTTCCAGTTCCCCACCCCGCAAAAAGATACATTGCTATACGTGACTGTTCAGCCACGATATAGCATATTTCTTGAGAGCGATGAATCTGGATCTTTCATTGTGGATGCGGTTATTTCCCATACCTTCGGCCAGGCATACAAGAATGCCTCGTTCGATAATCCTGGGACGAACTCAAGCAATGCTTTTACCACCGTAGATTTTGAGATTCACAACGAAGAGAGCGGAGCACTTCTCGTGTCTAGTTCAGTACCCGTCAACTCGACTGGGAACTTGTTCGGGTTTTCATTCTCGTCGTTCTCTCCCCGGTTTCAACCTTACGAGATTTCCATTTATGGAACTTCTCCCGACGGTCAGCAGATATATACTGGTAGTACACAATTATACATTCTGCCCTCACGTATATACGGCAGTGCTGTGAAAATCGACAACCTATTCGGTGGTCTTTACGTCCAAAACGCGAATAACTCCTATTCCGGCTGGTACAGGTAAGTTGGGGGATCATTTTTGACTTTATAAATTTGAAGAATTTTTTACATTTATATGATTGGTTATCTCTGCTCCATAAGTCTTAAGCTTCAGTACTGACTATCAATCTCAAAAATAGTATCTTCCCAAATGGAGGCTACGCAGGCGGCGGCCAGGTGATACCCGACAACATTACCTACACCCCCCTCGAGACGTACGTGGCTCAAGGCTACAACACCATCAACATCGTTCCCGATGGTGGAACACCAGAGCAATCCTACCCCACCGCAACCCTAGCCACATACTGGGACCTCATGGATTCCCTCAACCTCTTCAACATCTACGACATGCGCTTCGCGTTCCAAAACAGCACCCGCATATCCGACCAAGTCGCGCTCTGGCAAAACAGAAGCAGTCTCCTGATGTGGTATACAGCAGACGAACCAGACGGCTGGTCCTACGCCTTGAACTCGACGAAAGTGGCCTATGACCAGTTGAAAGAACTGGATCCCTACCATCCTGTCTCCCTGGTTCTCAACTGCCAGGATTTTTACTACAAGGAATACGCCGGCGGCGGGGATATTATTTTCGAGGACGCGTACCCGGTTGCTATAAATGCTACGTGGTCGATACCCTGGGACACAGCCTGCAATACGACGTACGGCGACTGCGGGTGCGATAATTGTATAGGCGAGTTGACTGACGTGTCGGATCGCCTGGATGATTTTGCGCTGTATCAAGCAAACCTCGGGCCTGGGACGATAGGAAGGAAGCCTACGTGGAGTGTGCTGCAGGCGTTTGGGGAGCAGGATTATTGGCAGAGTATCCCTAGTGCGCAGGAGGTGGAGAATATGATGATGTTGAGTGTTAACCACGGTGCGATGGGGATTACGTATTGGATCTACCCGTCTACGGACGATATCAATGTTGGGGCTGGGGATCTGGGCAAAGTGTTCCAGACGGATGTTGTCAAGGGGGTTCTGTTCGGGGCGCATGTGGTGAAGGGGCTCAAGGTTGGAGGCGAGGTGCTGGTAGATGCTAGTGCGTGGGTCTTGGGCGGGAAGATGTTGGTTGGGGTTGCGAGTGGCCAGTACACGGATGATAATGCGGTGGTTAGTATCGAGTTGCCTGGGAGTGTTGATGCTGTAGAGCAGGTGCTGTACGGGGATCCGAGTTGGGCTGTTGAGGATGGTAAATTGACGAAAAGCGGGCTGAAGGCGCTCGAGGTGAGTGTTCTAGTCTTGAATATCAGCTCTTGAGGTCTTTATCCAGGCCTTGTATTCTGCATTCGTACAGTCTTGACTCTCCGCGCGTATTGGAAATTCGCCGACGAGTCCTACAGACGAATGAAAAACGAGGTCTATGGAAGTCAACACACGTTCAGCCAGGCTCAAAAATTGTATGTGCGTCTCATTGCTACTTTCATGGCCCCTTATGTCCCCCACGAAGGAGCTACTTGCAAGGTACGATCCATCCATCCATCTCCCAGCCGCGAGTACAAATAAACGAGTGGAAATTTATCGCGTGCGTCGTGAAGTGTCACATCAAAGCCATCATCCTCCCAACGTTAACCCCTGGGAAGGTATCTTCCGAACTATCTTACAACTATCCACTAGATGCAAAAAAGTGACGAAGTCTGATTCCATGCCAAAGTCCTTTATGGCGAGTCTTCGATATGGTATGCGAGTATTCATTTTTGCTTTGCAATATCCGTCGAATAACTATTACGAGTATGAGTCAAGTCATTAGCAAAGGTCTTGAACCGAGAGATCGGAGGCAAGTTAATGACTCACGCAAACGATTCAACCCTAAGACATCGGCAGTCTGACCGCATAGAAAGAACCATCCTTAGCATACCACCTAACATCCCCAATATCCCCACTATCAATCGTCAAGCGGTTCCGTTGGGACCAGGTATTATCTAGCTCTCGCACCCAGTAGAAGCGGAACTTGTCGTCGTCAGCAGGCTTCATCTCTTGCGGCTTATCCATTTCCAAATGACCGGCCATTTGTATCTGCTGGGCCATGATTTCGCCACCCGTGTGGCCGATGGTGCCGAAAGGTGGCTGTTGGAAGCCGGGGCCGTAGTATGCGGGCTGTGGCTGGGCCATGTATGGCTGTTGTTGGTAGATTGGTTGGGGCTGCTGGGGAAGCATGGGCATGGGCATAGCGACTGGGTAGTTGACTGGCTGTTGTCCGACCTGGATAGATAGATTATATTAGCTCAAGTTAAACTGGAAGATAAAATACAGCTGAAAGATAGGTATATCCAAAGGCAGAAATGGCCACTAGGTTGAAGACTTGCTTGAGGGTAGAAGACTTGTCTGAAATACTCGGCTGACACTTGGGGCATGTATGGAGATGATGTATAAGGGGGTGGGTATACAAGTGCTGGTTGGCTAGGCTGAACGACGACTGGAATCGTGGGTACAGCGGCGGCTGCAGGCACATAGCCTTCGGGGAAGTAGGCTATGCTGCCCACCATGATGGCTCCATCTGAGCGGGGGATATAGGTATGGAGATTGGGCCCATTGGTCGTATCTCGAGTTTGGGGCTGGAAGTTCTCTTCGGCTACCGTCATGGCGAGAGTATGATTTTTGGGTGGTGGATTGTTGGGAAAAGTCAGGTTGAGAATTGAGGCTGTCTTGGTTGAATAGTTTGAATGAGAAGATGGCGGGTGTTCGTCTGGCAGTTTATGCTATGTCGGCAGAGTTGAAAAGTGAATTGGTCGCTCTCAGCCACTTCAAAGCCAGGAAAAAGAGGCAAACACCTCAAGCCCAAGGAAAGATACCAAAGCACAGCAACAAAAGAAAGAGGTCAAATAGCCGCTATACTCACAATACGCCCACCTCCTTCCAATTTAACCCACATGTTGCTTACCGGATCATAGTAGTTGACTCTCTTCGGTTTCCTCTGCTTGTCTTTAGGCTCCTCTTCCAGATAGACATCAGCCCACGGCCAGCACATCTTGAATCAAAGCTTGCTTCAAGGTTTATTGAGGTAGTAGAGGAGAGATAAAATGTTAATGGCTATTAGAAATGCTGAGGTAGTTTGGTTGCAACGATGGTTGAATGTCTTCCATCTTACTTGAAGGCGTTTATATGAACACATTTCTCGCTTATTACAGTAGCGGCGTTCGGATAGGGGGACATGGACGTGACAACCCAATGGCGGTGTCCAGCGTATTCATACTGTAATATAAGGTAGCTGTAGTCGTGATGTGAGCTGTCAAAGCCGGCCGAAATCACATACGCCTTTCAACTGGAATAATGAATGTTTTCCCGAATGAACCATCACCGCCGTCCGTCCACATTCGTGAAAAATCTCCAAATTCAAAGACCCCCACTGGACCCATTCTTCCTAGTCCACATCTCCATCCAGCCTTCTCCAAACTCTTCAACCTCATCATCAGTAAATTCCTTGATACCCAAGTCATCGAGAATCCTCTTCATGCCTAGATCATCGGCTTCTACTTCTTCAGCAGTCCGGCTCTTCAACTCATCCAGCAGTGAATTCTTTGTGCGCTGATTAGCTCTTTCCTCCTGAATCACATTGTCCAACCAGGACCTCTTTGAAGAATATTCCATAGACTTTTAGATATTAGCTGCTTTCATTTCCACAAGATAAAGAATTCCGTGGCGAGCACTTACATGCATTACAGAAAGACTGTGTTTCATGCCTATATGCGCATTATTTGCCTCTCTCAGAGTATCTACTATCTCCAAGTAATCCGACTCTTCCTTTATTTCAAGATTCGCCCCAACTGTTGCCCCACCAGAGATTGAAGTCGAGAACCTCCGACATGTCCAGGGCCCATCTGCCAATGTATAGCCTCTCGCACTTCGTCTGAATGGCCTTGCAACCATAATCTGAGCTGGCGAGTCTAAGCAAAGGTTGTCTAGGCTCCACAGCTCTGTAGGATTGCCTTCTTCGCTCGCCGAATCTGGAATACTTCGGTCCCGATCTTTGTTGCCTAGTTTACCGGAACTGCGTGGATAGCCAGGATAGTATGGAAAGGGGCCAGAAGATTCCGAAGGTGCGGGATCTAGAAAGTCGATGGGAGGTATGGTGCATAACTGCGTTGCGTCTTGAAGGGCTCTTAGGAAGTATACGAAGGAAGTGCTGTATGTGAAGTAGAGAATGATTTTTCTGGACGACCCACTATGACCACCCATGAGATATTCCAGGTGAACTTCGAATTCGTTTTCCTTACCTCTCTTAATGAACTTCGCTTTTTTGTTGGGAGACCCGTCGGCGCCGGCGTTTCTTTTTTGGTATTGTCTGGAAAGTGTACCTGCCTAGAGAATATTAATGGAATGATCTGCGTTGTTCCATAATGACACTCACCTTTGTCGAAAAAGTCATCTCTTTCCCCTGTATATCCACACCAGAAGCCTTCAACTCGGAATCTATCAGTCCTTCTACCTCGTCTTTGAACTTCTTGTTTGGAGTTTGAGATAACCATCGGCGAACCATGCGTGAATATTCCCACATCTGCGAATCTCGAATAACGCCATCGAGAGACGTCTCGAGATCGAGACCGACATAAGCTGGAGATTTGAGGCCCTCCTCCTCGATTTTCTTGGGATCTAGCATGGCTACATCGGTGAGACTAAAGTCTAGGCCGAACTCTTCGGGGAAGGTAGAATGGTGACCCGACTCCGCTATATAATATAGAGACCATCCTAATGCTTCCTTTGCTGTCTTTGGGAATGTAATTTTTGAAGTCGCCATTGTCATTTTGGTCGGGGCGAGACAGTATGTGTATTGCCAAAGTTTGTTGTTCTCAAGAGAGCAGGAAGAAATGCTGCAAAGATAATAATCGGAAAGTACGACTGCGAGCGACTGTTAGTATTTCTACCAAAGTTAATTTCTAAAATTCACTCATCGATAGGGGTTTCAGACACAAGAGAAGAGTGAGAATTTCCAAATACTTGGGAACTTCAAGCAGGCCTGAGGAAGCTGATGCATCGGGAGATGCATTAAATGTGGCCAGTACTGGCATAACGAAGCTACTGCCACCAGACACTAGATATATCCCACAGAGATACTGACACGAAAAGGTGTACATATAGCTGAGAACGCATATCTTTCATAACGCAATAAGATTATACGCTCTAAAATCAGACGCCCCCACGCTGTCCACCCAACGGACTGCGTGTTACCATCTACAATATATGTACAATATGGCCAAAGCCAGAGGAGAGTTGTCCGTCGCTTATGCATGCTACACCCATCAATGGTCTAAAACATAAATTGAAGGCGTAAAAGGTTGTAGTACAGGGAGGGACCGATATCGGTGGAGGATATGAAGTGTGTATGAAGCAAATCGATCAGCTGTAAGGTCTGGAATCCTATTAGAAGAGGGCTTTTCTTGCTACCTGGAACATATTTAATTAGTGAAACCATCAAAATCAGATGAGAGCAAGACTTACTGCCCATGCGCCTGCAACGCTAGCCACAATACCTCCAGATATCATCATCGGCCTGATGCCCCTGGTGCTCTTAAACACCATCCCGCTCACTGCTCCGGCCAAAATGCTGTTTGCCGAATCATGTTTCCCCCGCATATAGCCAATGTATGAATTGATACCATTGTAGACCATCGCGATAACACCAGCCGAATTTCCCAAGAATGGTCCTCGCCGTGTGACAGCGTTCAGTACGGAGTTTAACCGTAGCTTTGGCGGTTGCCCATTTGATCTTCGCAGTCCTTCTTGTAGCCCCCACGCCCCTCCAATTGTCAGTGCCGACAAGTATGTCACACCAGTTCCATAACATAAGTCGTCAGACCATCCTCGTGATGGCAAGGCTGACTGCGACCCAGGGAGGTCTGAGAGGGCGGATTCTTCGAGTGATAGATAGTCTAGGGTCTGCTGGTTTAAACCAGCAAGAGGATGTAATGATGATGGGTCGGGAATGGTAGGACCGCTAAGGAAGGAGGAAACATCTTGGGCGTCTTGCGGATTGAAAGGGGTGGGTTGAAAAGAGTCTTGCCGATCTGGTGTCTGGGTCGTTGATGTATCTGTTGAAGAGGGCTTTCGGCCGGTGAGCTTATCCCAGAATGACATCTTGAGCGACACAGATTAATACACAGACGCAGATGTTTGAAAGAGAATGTGAAGCTGTGGTGGAAATCTTAATCCGCATTCTTTTGCCTCGACGATGACAGAAATATTTTAGATGGCGCTCGGGCCATCTAATGATCACATGACCAACGGAGATTGAAAATTGAGTACTGTAGTTCTCAAACCAGATATCGTCGGAGCTATGAATGACTTCTCCATGGAACCTACTCGGAGATCTATTAGTACCTTGAATTAGTCTTTCCTGAAGGTGCAATGGGTAAACAAAATCCAGAAACTGCGGTTCTGGCAGCTCCAGAAGCACCTGAAGACGATCGTCTCCTGGTAAAATGGCTGGAGGAGAGACCTATTCAGTCCCAAGGACAGTAAGTAACCTTATTTTCTTAGAGAATTCGACTAATGTCAGCAATGTAGATTAGCAAAGGCAAAACTTGACGATTTTCTCGAGAAAGCTTCGCAGCCTCGTCATGCATCGGGAAATGCCTGCATCAAACTCTGCTACTACATTGAGCAATGTAGAAGTTCATCCTGCGCTCCTATCAGAGAAGTTGCCTTTGCCAGGGATACTCCTCTGCGTTTGTTTAATTTTTATGTTGAATGGAACGAGAAAAACCAGAATCGTTCGATGCGGCAAGTGTTGGAGCTCTCATCGTCACTAATTGCTCGCAATCCCGATCAGCAAGCTTCTGAAGCTTTGAAAAGGGCAGTATTAAAAAGAACTCTATCTATAATCGCTCATCAGAATGCTCAGTCGTTGGTCAAGCCTGCTTTCAAGGTTCTGGAATGTTTTTTGAGCAAGAACACCATTTCTCCCAAAGACGTGATGGTAGCCTATGAGGCTCGGATTCATCAAGTTTCCCTCTCTGATCAAGCGAGAGCAAGGGGCGTTGATGAAGATCTCTGGGACTCTTTTATCTTGGACATTTTTGACTGGATGGTTTTGCCAGACATCTCTCCCGGTGCTGGCAAGTTCCTTGTGACCCTTTTCAAGGCAATGAAGCCCGTCGCTGAGAGTTCCGATGGTCACCAAGCCGACTACAGTACGTTATGGCAGCGTTGGATAAGAAAGGGTCTTGCAAAGGACCCCCAAGCTTTTGAAAATGTAAAGAATTATCTCTTTCCTCCACTATTCAAGATCGACCGCCCAGGTTCATTGGCCTTATTGGAGAGCCTCAACCAGCAGAGAGCAATTCCAAATCTGCAAAGCCAGGATTTAGATGCCCATGCACTTTTACAACTTGCAGCCATGGATGTAGGGAAGAAAGCTGGTTTGGTTGAAGAACCAAGTACGACCCCTCCCAACCTTGATATATCGAAACTCACAGCAAAATAGGCACTATTCAGTTCCAGAAATCATCAAATAAAAAACCAGCTGCTTGTATCGTTCTTCAAGAGGAAGCAATCGGTAGTCTTATGGGCGGTTTCTCAGGAACTGTTCGGTCACTCGCTTTTTCGGTTTTGGTATCATCTGCTTCGTCAATCCGTCCATTCAGTCCAGCCACCTTAGATTTATTCCAGTCTCATCTAGGAGCAATGTACTCTGATACGGATGCTAAGTTTCGCAACGAGACTCTAACCAATTCCAAACACATGATCGAGAGAATCAGAGGTGCAACTGCATTTCTCGTTCGAGAGCTCGATCAAATTTCGTTCAAGCTATCCCAAGGATCGGAACCAGAGCATAAGGTAGCACAGCAAGCGCTCCACGAAGATATACAATCCCTATTGCTAAAACACAAGCGTTTCGTTGAGTGGTACCTGGATTTCTTGTTTGGAGAGCTGATTCCAACCGCCTCGTATCAACGACATATCACGTCCTTAAAGGCCATTATCTTACTGCTACATTCCAGGATTCTGGAAGACTCCCCGGGGCTTCCTCCAATCCCCGTCAACTCTACAATATGGCCCTTCACAGTAGAATTCTTCATTCCCCGCTCGATGCGACTACTGTTGGATCTTCTTATGGACCCTTTTGAAGAGGTAAGAATTGGCGCTTCAGATGTTCTGGCATATGCTTTGCGGGACTGTTTCGTAGGTCAAATATCCAGTGGGGTTTCAAACGACCACGAAAGCCGCGACCTCAGGATAAAAGAATGCCCTGAAACAGAGCCCATACTTAATCTAAAGGTGAACTCGATCGATAGACCACTGGGTCTTCTGATAGATTTCATTGTGCGCGGAAAGGAAGCTTCGAGGAGGACTGGCCGAGCAGACTATGCTGATGGGGTGGCGCGCTCGTACAGACTTTTGTATAGCCTACAGATATCCGGAGAAGACAAAATCAAACTTCTTGAGGAATTGATTTATGATCTGGAAATGAAAGTGGAAATAGCTTCAAACGATCTTGGACAAGCTGTTCTTGAAGCACCGATTCATGCTAGTTTTGCTGCTTTAAAGTGAGTTCGAATATTCTCCACTGGTTGACTTAGAATTCAATTTCTATACTAAATTGATTAGCTTGGTATGGGATTTAGTTGGTCCGTCAACAGATTTTCCTGGTGAGCCATCACGAGCCTGGGAGAAGTGGATTGACTTCACACGACGTATGGTGCATTCGAGCTCTGGTATCTGGCAAGCTGTGAGCGGAATTCTCTGTAATGATTCACCAGAAGGGCACCTACTTGACGATATCGACGGATCTGAGGCTCTTGATAGCAAGGACATTCTAAGTTATAGCTTCAGGGCAATTCATGAGTCCAGGTAAGTTATACATCTTTCAGAACAACCGTCAAAGATAGCACTGCTTATAATTCAATAGCAACCTTATGCGAACAATTGTCACCAAGATCAATCAAAAGTACCCGGAGAACATCGCGTTACCTGCCCATAATTGTTTTGTGGAAATTGGAGATTTGTCCTTCTTGCAATTATCAACACTTCGTCATCGCGGTGCCTTTTCAACTGTCTCATTGACCTTTACTGTCTGCTGCCAACTGACTCAAGTTATAAGCCCAAGCTCTGAATCAACAAACACAGATATGTTGCGCCGCTGGTGGAAGGTATGCTCAAACGTACCACAACTTCGACAATCACTAACCGAAGCAGGGCACGAAAGAAGCCATCAGCTCACAAGCTTCTACAACGAGGCGGTCTGCTGGTATACCAGCACTTATCACGGGAATAATGATTGCCGATGCCCCAAGCCCCAACTTCGAGGAGATTATGGCAGATTTGGAGTTACAGGCACGGAGCCCACTTATCACGGCATCTATAGAACAAAATCTCCCCCAAGTACACGCCTTGAATGGCCTCAAGGATACTTTCAAGAACGCTGCTGTCAGAAAGCGAGCTGAGGGACACGTTCTCGAATGTTTACATATAGCTTCTGATGCTCTCAATTCGGAGACGTAGGTTCATATTTTTCTAAAACACAACTCCAACCCTTCAATATCTGTGGGTTTACTAACATTCCATAGATGGGCTATCCGCAATTGTGGCCTCCTTCTTTTCCAATCCTTAATCAATTATCTCGTGGGAACCCACAGCAAAGAGAAGACAGAAGCTGGTTGGGATGGCGGGGCGACGGCCATTTCATACGACAAATATCCCAGTCTCGGCGACCTTTTGCTACAACTATTAGAGACGGCATCTGACAGTGACTTGAAAGAAGCTAGCTCTAATGCACTGCTTGAGACGATATTCCCTGTTCTCGATATTTTTCGCGAGCCGGCCCGCCAGAAGAACTCCGAGAGCGCATAGTTGCTCGTTTGTTCCGTCTCATAGGTCACAAAGTCTGGCAAATCAGAGAGCTTTCTGCCAAAACGCTTTGTGTTCTTGTACCTAGTGAGGAGTGGACTAATACTGTTCAGAAGCTCATAAAGTCTTGTGGAGAGTCTTCCGCGGACTTTTCGGGAGAGAATCAAAAACATGGAGCCCTTCTGGGGGCAAAGCTTCTGCTGGAGCGATATCTTCCAGAATGTGACCTTTCATCTGACCGTAAGCTTTCAATTCTTGGCTAGACTTGCCATCTGCTTACCGATAATCTCGTATAGTTCAAGTTATTACCCCAACACTTGAGCTCTGCTTTTCTCTTGAGCAGAAGAGCGTGTGCTCAACCTTTGGTTCAGCTGCATACATCGATCTTCAAAACACAATTCTGGATGTTTTAATACCCACATCTGACGCCAATACGACAGTAGGGACTATGGAGGCCACCAAAGCTCTCATAGATAGCGCTTTTCCTCTAAGCACTTACCTGCACCTCACAAACCTCCTCTCTGAAAGCAGCTCCTCTGGCAATAATGACACCTCCACAACTGGCCAAGCATCAATAGTTGCTTTCAAGCAATCTGTCTACCTGTCTGCCTTTCAACAAGATGTCAAAGCTTTGGGAGAAATCGTTGAACTCGCTACTAATGCATACGGGATTACAACCTTGATTTCCACATTGGAATGTATCTCCGAGGTTTGGATGCCAGCCCAATCCGAATACATCGTACAAGAACTTGCTACAATTCATATCAATGTCATGAAGGCGCCCGCGTCGGCTAAAGCCCCTGGAATACGCGCCGCTGCGTTGAGCGGTCTTTGCTTGATGTTTGAATCAGCCAAAGACCTACAATCAACACCATTGCGGACAGCAATCATGGAGCTCGATCATGTACTAGCTAGAGCGACCATTACCAAGTTGCCAACTAACCCAAAATTGTGTGCTGCCGTAGACACAATGATAGGCCTTAGCGTTTTGTCTGAGGTCCTAAGCTGTAAGCCTCTGCAGGAGAATGCGAGGCGCAGAGTTGAAGACTGGGGAAGGTATATGCAAATGAACACTCGTGATGACAAGGTAATCATGTTTTCAGATCTTGCAGAAGAGTCCAGGCTGACTAGAATGTGAAAGGACTTCGACACGCGATTCGCAGCAGCACGATCTTTGCAGGAATTCTTCCGTAGCGATGGCATTGGTCACGTGTTAGGAGATGATTGCCTTCTGAAGGCTTTGCTGACTCTCCATACTACTCTGAGTGACGATGATGAGGAGATTCGAGAATTAGGCGCATCCACTGTTGCGTCACTGACACGAAACCTATCGACACCTCTACAAGCAGTCCAAGACCTTGCAGCGTGGATGGTGGGAAAATACAGCTCTTCAGTTTCTTTTGCACATATAGTTGTCGAGCAGATGACTGGAGCTGATGCATGGACGCGGGTCAAAGCCTCGCTGGATCCCAACGATTCGCTTTTCGCAGAAGAAGATACAAACTTATTCGTGGACGAAATTAGAGATGCTAGACTATGGGCTAAAACTTTCCATGGACTTTCAAAGCCAGCCGTGGAAGACTCTAGCACCAAGGAGAGTCCAGTAACGACTCTGGTAAATTGGGTAACCGCTGGACTCACTGCTCTAGACCCACTTTTGGAGGGTGAGGACGGTCCATTGGGAAACCTTTCAAGACCTGGAACCTACTATCCTTGCCTTCAAGTTCTAATCTGCCAGAACGCATTGATACAGTACATGACCACTCACTACCAAAGTCCCAATAGCTCTATAGACTTAATCTCTGGACGTCAGCCAGCGAACTCGAACTTGCTTCAAAAATTCATCGCCAATGCGGGGAGGAGAAAAATCCACGAAGATCTGGTATTTGAATTGCTGAATCCAAATTCCCTACAAGAGTCTGGCTTGGAGAGTCTTTATCCATCGATTGTGAATATTCCGCGAGACCGCCTCACATTTTCGCTTCGGCTCCGTCGCGCCCGACTCGACCTGCCGTCAGCGGCCGGAGAAAAGAACAAGCACCCTGGCAACGCAGAAAACTGATTCTTTATTTACATCGGGAACCTTGAACAGCTTTTGTTCATTTTCATTTATGATATCCCAAGTTTGTGTACCATTTCTGCGTTCTTAGAGGAATTTTGCCAATTAACGCAATCGCAGAAAGCCCTCTCCTATTCACCAAACCTCTGTCTGCATACTTTCCAATCATCAACAAACAACCCCTCAAAGAACAATCACCACAATGCCACTACCAAATTCAAACATCGCCATCCTATTCCTCGCCATGGCTGCGTTTTCTGTCCTCATAGGCATAGGCGGCTACCAGCTCCTTCAGAAATTCGTTAGTTCTCTTAGCTTGCTCTCCCTACGGCTTTGTACACAGGACTAATTTCTCTCTCTAGGCCCGACGAAAGTGCGTACATGCTGTTTCGAGACTGCAAAGATGGCATGGCTAATTAACTTAATCTACCTTTTAGTTTAGATGCAAAGGCGGCTCGGGACGAGGAGTCTACTGCGACGACTGCAACGACCAGCTCGGGAAGTTGAGCTTGATCAAAGGTTCGCTTGGACGGTTTTGACTGCGGTGCGGTTCTGGATTACAACTACATGGGGTATGGTTGATATGGGGTTTAGTTCGCCCTCTGCACATCTGGGGCACCAGGTGCTCTCGCGGAAGCATACGAAAAAACGGGCGTTGTTGGAGGGAGTTCTGCATAGAGAGGAGTTTGGTATACAAGCATTAGCGTTGGAGAACTTGTTCATTTCCACATCCCGTGTTTGCAGAATCATGCATATCCACTGAAAAGAAAGAAAGAATCAAGAGTGAAATTTGTATGTGTCTCTATTGTCGTTGAATGTAACAATCTTCCCACCAAACCAAAGTTCGCTCCATCGCCTTATTCACTTTCAACTTACAAATTTATTCACATCCTCTTTGAAGCCCAATCACTCATCTCTGACTCTGAATAACACTCCCCCAGTCAACACCAACCTCCCCTGGAATCCCATGACACACCACCTAGTCCACGTTTAAAAGCTGCCGCCGCACTCTCCTCAAGACAAGCACCTCCTTCCAAACACCCGAGCAACAAGTCCAGACTCTAGCTCCAAGACGACATCCCTGAATCCCATGTACCCTTCCATGACAACATCTCTTCCTCCTAATCCTAGCACGATTCTTCTCCGCGCCTGATGCAAATATCTCTTCAACACCGTTGACAATGGAATCCGACCCCTCCAGCCCTTTCACAAGCTACGGCGCAACACGCACAACCTTCTTCACAGTCACCATCACAGCACCTGCAAACACAAATTCAGTCTCAATATACTACCCCTTCCCAGCCATAACGCTCGCGCCACAATACACCACCGTCAGTGGTTCAATCACGGACCTGTTTTCCGTGCTGCCAGTTCTGGTACTTACGGATGTCGTAGGTGTAGTCGTGAGCACCAATGGAGTACCGCTGAAGACGGGGACGTTGGTACAGCATGCTCCTTCTCCTTCTCCTTCTCCTACAGTCGAAAACGGGAAGGGGAATGGGAACTGGACAGTGGCAGCGGATGATTGCTCCACTTCCACTTCTGCGAAGGCGTGGAAGTGCTGGAGCGTGGGGAAGCAAGCTGGTGCGGGTGTGGGGATTGCGGTTGCGGCGATTGTGATACTAGCTGGTCTGCTTTGGATCTGCTGCTGTAAGCCAAGGAAGAAGATGATGAGGGGCGTCGAGGATGCAAATGTAACGGGGAGGGAGAAAGTAGCGTTCGGGTGGGGTGGATGGCCATTTGGCGGGAGCAAGAAGGGCGAGAGTGTGATTCCTAGGGAGGAGGGACACAAGAAGTCGACTATCATAGAAATCCCACCGACCTTCCACGGTGGGGTTTCGAAATACCGAGTTGTGCCTCCTAATCCTAGGGAGGCAATCAGACGAGCTGCCGAGATGCCTCCCGAGCGAGCTGATCCGCCCCCAACTCACCAGCTACCGAAACGAAGGACTGAGATACCACCAGATCCAAGTCCTTCTGCTCTGCCGAAAAGATCAATTCAGAGATCATCATATTATTACCCAAAGACCCACGACTTCGCATATCCAGCAGCGGGCGCGGCAGGTGCTGATACAGCAGCTGCATTTACATCGAAACCCAGAAGACGCAGTCCACAGCGCCGTCAATCAACCAAGGAAGAAAGGAAATCGACGGCTTGGGCTCCGTCAGCTTTGCCAATAATCAGTCCTGCAGATATTCCGAGGCGGAAAAGCAAGAGACAAAGTAGGAGGGAAGATTCAGGGGATCGAGATACTCGAAGAGAGGATAGAAAGCGATATTCTGATAGGGAACATGGCTTCGGTCGAGAACGGGGGCGGGAGCGAGAGTCAAGGGAGACCCGCGGAGAAAGAGATAAGACACCAGAGTCTCGAAAAGAGCGACACGTCAGTAGAGAGCGACGAGTGAGAAGGTACCTAGTGCCACAAGCCTAACTTATTTCTCTAAACTTATTAATGAAATAAAACCTAGTGCTTCACCACCTCGAAAACCAAAACCAAAACAAAGGTCAAAATCTCTGTCCAAACCCAAAAAGCGCTCTTGGGCCAGTAACGCTAAATGGCTTGCCCTTTTGCCCGTTGCGCTGGAAGCTATTCATGAGATCGCAGAGCCGAATGGGGGATGGCATCAATATCATAATCAGAGCAGCAAGGCCAAAACCAAGACCAAGGATCGCAGAAGGAAAGCAAGGAGCGGTTCCTCTGGATCATCGAGTGGGAATGAGAACAGCTATATCGCTTCACCGCAGCCAAGACGCACCTACCGCACTACCTGGGCTTCAACGGGTGATTTCGCAGACGGGCATGCTGAGAGTCGTCCGAGAAGGTCTAGATCTACTGATCGTGCAGCGAGAAGAGATTCATCACCTGACGATTTCACATTCACAGCGAGACGAGAAAGACGGCGAATGAAGGAGGAAGCTCAGCGAAGACCTCGCACTTTCCGGGATTCGAGACCGAGGGATAGGTAAAAGGCAGACTACGACGGGGCAATGTCTTCTGGCGATGAAGGTTTTCATGGATCTGGATCTATAACAGTGATGGAAATAGGCATGCCATGTATGGAGAAGAGGCAAGCAAGTTGCGGCTCCGGCAAATTGTTTAAGACACACACCCATTGATGGAACTTACATGACCGCGAGATCTGGTACCATCGGGGGTATATGCCGCGTTAGCTCAAATCTGGATTTGCTCTTGCTTCATCTAATATCTTGCTAAGCCTCCCTTAAGGCATAATTTCATGTTTTAAAAATAGCTGAGATAGACGCTTAAAAAGCGCTGGACTAGGCAAGGGGATAGATATGTCGCTTGACATAAACCAGTTCAAGTATAAGCAAATGTCAACTGTTTCACATTACACGCAACTTTTCAAAGTGTGCTGAGAAAATTGCATTCCCATCTGCTTCACGGAGGTCCTGGCGAAAGGCCCTAATCTTCGTAAACAATGTTATGGCCTATATAGAGTAATAACTAGGCAAAATATACCGCAAACTTGGAATGTGATGATCCAGTGTGACTGTGTGACAGTACTACTGTATTCCCGACCGCGGGACGCCGCAGTTTGACAAATGTTAAAGGAAGGAAAATTTGAGAGGACTTCCGCTCGGCTCGGAGATAATATGTAGTAAGAAGTGCATAGATACATATGGAAGTAAATCTGGAGACCTGTACTGTACGATCGGTCCTACTGCATCAGAAAGTTGACATGAAACCACGGTCTTGACTTCCGTATCTGTTGGACCGCTATCCCATCCGTTTGCACGACATTGTTGGCTCTTGGATTATACAGCTCCACCACGATCTTCTTTGTTCACACTTGTGTAATGGAAGCAGACTACTAATTGCATACTCAAGTAACAACAAAATGGTTACAGACGTTTGAGAATATCTGGACCTCATCCCTTGGCAGTAGCAGTAGCGGAATTGTGAAAAGCGCTGTCAATGTTTGTCTCTAAAACAACATGAGTTTGTCGGCTATCCTGCCAGCAGTGGCAGTGCGGAAAACAAGTTGTAGAAGCGTCAGCTTAAAGTAAAAACATTCTCACCTGTTGTCTCTTTGGCCTGAACAAAGTCCATCCCTGACCATATTTTGTAGTCATTATTGCCATGGCAGAAATTGATGGACGCAGCGAAGCCCCTCAAACAAGCACTTGGGCACCAATTAGGCAGGTTTCGTCAACTCCGGATCCAATACCCGTTGTCCCTACAATTCAGTCAGATTTCCAGCAGTTTCCCACGATGTGGCCCAGCACAAACTCTGGGGTGCAAGAATCCGTTACCGTCAAGGGACCAACCCCAGTTCAAGGAGCAACCATTGCACTCGGCATCATTTGTGGGATCTTGCTACTTGGAAACCTTCTTTTCGTGATGCTTTACTGCCTCGGACAAAGATATATGGATGAGGAGTCATCTGATACAATGATTTCCAGCCGAAGACGCCATCGCTCAAGGAAACGCACGAGCAAAGAAAATTATGATAATCCCAAGAAAGTCACTTTTGAGGAGCAAAGTTCGGATTTGGAATCGTATCTCGACCCAAGAGACCACAGTCGGGAATTCAGCAAAGGCCCTGCTTTCTTTCGGCCTGCACGAGCGAATATCAATCCAGTCCCACCTGCATATTTCGCTGGAGATCAGCCTCGAAATCTCGGACGTCCACAGATGCCAGATCCAGCAAAATATAACGCTTCGGTTGACGATCCTTCGGATGCAAGTGTTGCTGGCAGTAGCAAATACGATGAAGAACATCAGATGCATGGAGGACGTTCATCAGGAAGCCAGCAGTCTTCGAAATCTTCTGGGACAAAGATTCCCTCCCGCACGAGATCAAGAGCATAGAAGAATTCTGATTGTGGTCATTATAAAGACTGTGAAACAACTGGGAGTAGTGAATGGGGCTGCCTTGGATGGACGGCCGAGGAGATACAGTCCAGAGGGAAGGATCTGAGGAGCTGGAGGAATCCTGTACTTCTACATCTTCCGTTCCATTTGTTGCATCTCTGAGTTGAAGGGATCTTTGTAGTGTAGTATCCATTTCTTCAGAGTTCTTGGCCCATAAATCTGAGTTATTCGAAGAATGAAAACTAGGGCAGATACATAAATAATGAATAGGAAAACAATACCAGCAGTCGACCACAACTCATACACATTCACATCCCGCTGTGATATCTGCTTCAACATTCATCATGTTCACAACATAACAAAAACGGTTTATCGACAATCAATTAATCGATTGTTTGGCCACTGCTCGTAATATGTGAACTCTTGTTACAAAATGATACCCTGGAACTGCCAAGAAATGTTTGATGTGCCCTTGCAGCGGCTGGGGCACAGTAAGTTACATTGAGATGCATGAACGTATCTAGAGGAATGAAAGTATATGCAAAGCTTCAGATTACGGTAATCTGAGCTGGGGATATTTACGATCAGATGTTTGCACATGAGAAGAGATGAGATGAGATGAGACGAAAGTAAAAGGGGGAGGAGGGAGCAGGAGCTCAATCTCAATTAAGGTTGGCGGGATTTGGCCCGTGCACCGACAGCAAGCGGCGGCGGCGTCATCAAAGGCATGGGCGAACCACCAAACAACACTCACCCACCACTTTCAACTCACAACACTGACTCCCACCAACCCTTTGTGCGCCGTTTGCCATCCTCATCGGCTGCTCAAAGACCTGGCGACTGTGAATCATGTGGAACGACGAGGACAATAACCCCTACGGGACTAGCTTTGAGCGTCGCGACTCAACAGCCTCCTCTATAGTAAATCCGGCCTCCCCAGGCTCTCGTGAGTTGCTCTATCCCATTGCTATTGCAGAGCTTCAGGATGTGGAAATCCATGGTAGACATTTCCCTAGATGACAATACTGACATCGCCACCGATTGGCAACTTGTAGACCAAGCGTACAACGGCCCTCGAACCCCCTCTACCATAAGTGACAACGCCGATCATGACACAGATACCCACCCACAGCAATACCAGAATGATACCATTGATGCCGGAAGTGACGAAGAATACGAGGGGGGTTCAAAGGCAGCTCCCAGAAGGAAGAAGGGCGGTTATGACAGTCGTATTGAGCAGATCCTCTATGAGAACCCAGAACTGCCCATTCTGATTGTCGATGCTGGCAAGAGCTCCGAGAGCGGGGGGAAATACATTGTCTACACCATCAGAACAGGAGTAAGCTCCAGGATCCCGTATTGCAGGTCTGTACTGACCATCCTACAAGGACCTTGAAGTCCGTCGAAGATACTCCGAATTCGCTTCCCTCCGAGATGCCCTCTCACGATTACATCCTACGTTGATCATACCCCCTATCCCAGAGAAACATACCATGGCCGATTATGCTGCGAACCCAACAAAGGCAAAGCAGGACCAGCAGATTATCGATTTAAGGAAACGCATGTTGGCAGTGTTCCTCAACCGGTGTAGGCAGATGGATGAGGTCCGGAACGACGGCGTTTGGTGGAGATTTCTTGATCCAAATTCGAGCTGGGTATGTTGGATCTGGGATGAAGCGGTTCTATGCTAACTTTTCAAGAACGAGGTTCTACATTCTCATCCTATTGCTTCTATCCCCAAATCTAACATGAAAGCCCCACCACTTGACCCCGCCAACCCCTCCCCCGCCCATGCTTATCTACCAGTACCTGCATCATCTGCAAAGCTCAAGGCTTCGTCATTAGGGCCTAGCAATGCACAAGGTATGCCAAATACACCCTCCGAGTATGCTGCAAGCCCTTCGAGCGCGGCACATACAATCCCAGGTCCACAAGTGTTTGGAAGATTTCCACCAGATTCCCAACATCTAAGCGAACAAGATCTCGATCCGTATTTCATCAATTTCGAAGCGTCAACGAAGGATTTAGAGTTGTTGCTTACAGGGTCCATCGAAAAGGTCAACCGTCGCACGTTAACACACCTGTCTTCTTTATCAACGGACTTGGCAGAACTTGGTGCTAGGTTCAACGGATTCTCGCTCTCAGAGCCTTCCCCGTCATTAGCAGCGGCTATTGAGCGAGTCGGTCAGGCTGTGGACTCATCGTACCTAGCAACAGAAGAGCTATCGGGGTCATTAGGTGCAAGTTTTGCTGAACCAATGCGAGAGAGTGCCCAGTTTGCTGGTGTGGTTCGAGGGGTTCTACGGTACCGTGTGCTCAAGCGAGTTCAACAAGAGATGACGAATGACGAACTAGCCAAGAAGAGGGCACTTCTTCAATCTTTAGAACAAAGCGAATCTGAAGCGAATAGAATCGAGCAGTACTTGACTAGTAGTGGTACCGCAAATCTGCCTAGACGTTCAACTTCTTCGGCGAGAGAGCCCCCGCATTCGAGAAGAGAGAATAATCAGGAAGACACCGCATCCATTGATTCCGACTTCCCTCCCACCCACGGCGACTCGCCGAGTACTCCTTCAGCGGCACAAGGGGCGCCGCATGGAGAAGGGGAGCTTTCTCCAGCTCACCGCAAGAGCGCAAGTGGCAACTTTATTACGAACAGGATCTTTGGCCGGCTCAACCATGCCATTCACGGAGTCGTTGATGTAGATCCAGAACGTACGCGAAGGGATCAGATAGGCAAGACTAGAGAATCGATTGGGCAGTTAGAGCAAGCTCAGCAGGCATCTGAGCAAGATGTCAAGGATGCAAGTTCGGGTATCTTGAAGGATATGAAGCGCTTTCAAGCTGAGAAGGAGGATGATTTGAAACGGTACATGGTAAGTTTAAAAAGCCCAGCGTGCGAATTGATGCTAAGAAAGAATAGCTTGCGTATGCTCGAAGTCAAATCGAATGGGCCAAGAAGAACAAGGAGACGTGGGAAGAGGCCAAGGCGGAAATCAATAAGATAGATGAGAATTGATGACGGTGAGAATGCCGGTATTCACGGGTTGGGGAAGTAATATGCGAGAGGAGCTTTGGGATTATGATTCTGTGTAATTATCCAGACTGCTATGCAGTAATAGATTATCGATGAATACTAAGATCTACCCACCAGTACCACATGGTTGAAAGGGAAGAGGGTAAGGTGCACTAGGTGGCCCGTGCGATCCAAAATCCGGGGTACTGGAACTGGACAGTCGTGCATGACGTATGAGTTCTTTCTTGCGAATCTCCTCTCTCTTCCCCTCATTCATGCCGTGCCATGCTCCTTTGGCCCATTGGGTACAAGTAACATTCTGTCTTATATCCTCAACTCACATCAACTGAACTTGAGCCTACGGACAGACACCTCAATTCATATCTAGAACATCTTTCACAATGGCCAACATATACAATAGCCAGCTCGTACAAAGTCCCTTAATCCTGTTCTAACTATATCAAACTGATCTTGAACCTTAGGATGCTTTTACCCTCTACCACAAGAACCAAGAGAATTCCTCTTCAACCTTCAATGGACCAGCTCTCCCTGCCCTTGGACACGCCTTGGCAGGTTCAACAGGAGCTGCCATTTCCAATCTTGCCATCTACCCTCTCGACCTCATCATAACCCGTCTGCAAGTCCAAAGACAGCTTCGAAAGTCATCATCTTTTCCAGAAGAAGGCGAATACGAGGGCGTGCTCGATGCCTTTTCCCAAATCTATAACAAAGAAGGCGGACTGTCTGCTTTCTATACGGGAGTTTTGCAAGATACTGGGAAATCTATCGTGGACTCGTTTCTATTCTTCCTTCTCTACAATTACCTACGCACGAACAGACTTCAGAAGAATGGAACCAATACCACGACTTTGCCGGTGCTGGATGAATTGACAGTAGGAGCACTAGCAGGAGCATGTTCCAAGTTCTTCACAACCCCAATATCCAACATCGTCACCCGCAAACAAACAGCCTCGATGCTCTCTGCCCGCAACAGCTATCCCTTCGCTGAGCCCTCAGTATCTGACATCGTCAAATCAATCAGAGCCGAGAAGGGCATCCAAGGCTTCTGGTCCGGTTACTCAGCTTCCCTGATCTTGACTCTGAATCCGAGCATAACTTTTTTCCTTTACGAATTCTTCAAAAGGAGCCTAGTGCCGAGAACACAACGCGATGATCCTGGAGCGAAAATCACATTTTTGATGGCAGCAATCAGTAAATCCATCGCCTCAACCATCACGTACCCGTTCTCCCTTGCCAAATCACGAGCTCAGACATCGTCTTCACCGCCCGTGAACGTCGACTCAGCTAGGGAACTCAAGAAAGATGTCTATGTTCTTTCCAATACTAGCGATGCCAAGAAAGCCGGTTCCGACGCTGAGAAAATTGCTAGAAGCTCTACAGTTTTCTCAACGATCTTAAATATCTACCGTACGGAAGGTGCAGCCGCATTATATGAAGGCATCCTCGGCGAGATACTCAAAGGGTTCTTCAGTCATGGTATTACCATGCTTGTCAAAGAAAGTGTTCATAAACTTATCATTCAGACATATTACATGATTCTCAAGGCGTTAGACAAGTATCCTTCTCCTGCTCAGATTGCGGATCAGACGGGTGTAGCGGTTAGTGAGGGTTATGGAGTTGTTGTGCAGAAGGTGGGGAGTGTGGTTGAATCTGGGAAAGGTGTTGCTGGGGATGCGGTCGAGAGAGCTGGTGTGATCGGCAACAATGCTACGGAAGCCGCCAAGACGGCGGGGTCTGCGGGTAAAGATGTCATCGCAAACACTGCGGAGAAGGTTGGTGTTGTGGGGAATAAGGCCAGTGATCCTGGGATGTCGGGGGAGGAACTTGTGAGCAAAGACGCTGGGCATTTGTTGGGGAACGCACAGGATCAGTTGGGTGATAAGCTTGTAGGGGGAGGAAATGGATTGAAGCCTGAGAAGGAGTAAGTTAGTAACTTTGACCTCGACAGGGGATAGGACTTTCGTGGTTCTGCAACAGGATTGCGCTATCAGATTGGATTTGAAATGGTTGCATGAGATTAGGAATCAGTTCACGGCTTGGAAGCTATGAGAAAATTGGAATGAATGAACGCTGTATACGATTTGCTTTACGTTACTTCTTCTTACCTGTATCTATCTACTCTTTTCCGTACATAATACCATTCATCACACATCAGCATCGTTGCCTTTACGGCTAAATATACTACTAAGTCATTTTGATTAAACGAGTTGAGAAACCAACCAGTACACCTACCTTTCCTTCTCCGTACTTTCGTTTCAGAAGGATCGCCGTGCCCGTGTTATCTTTATTTGTAATTGAAAGGGGTTCAATTCCTGGAGCTAAGAAAAGGTAAGGTGAGAAGAGGGTTCCTCTTCTCAGGAATATTTATTTACGGTATAGGGGTACTCGCTTATGCCAACGCCAACTGCACTGCAGATGCAAGGATAAATCAGGTACAGTAGACAGGCTGCCAACGCCCTGCCGTGCCCTGATGCCACGCCGCTCTGGATTCAAATAGATGGCTTGATTGAAAGGAAAGGAAGTCTTATCTTTTCATCTTCCTGGATAAGCATCATATATCATATATTCCCAGCGTGATTTTCAGGAACGAATTTAGCGGGAAATGGTAACTAAGTCTGACTGCGACTACAATGATAGATTGTACCGGTCCACACGCCGTGATATCTGGGGGTTCATATGCAAGCTTGGAATGTGGGAGGGCTGGAGGATGAGGTGTGCGGAGCATGGTGTGCGGTTTGTGCGAGGGGGGTTTGGGGGCGTGCCGATGATGGTGAGGGTGTCGAATATTGATTACATGAGTGTGCGCTCGACTCCCTGCGGATTACTTGATCTTTTAAAAATACAAACGGCTGAATTTATTATGATTCGTGGGATTTGAAAAGGGAGGTGACAGTAAAGTATATGCAGAATGGCAAGAAAGTATCTTTGTCTATTCTGCTACGAGGTATAACGATCATTGGTACAGAAGAGGCAATGTGGCGGAAAGCCACAAGCTTCTCATATCGAGAGCATTACCGGATAATCCGATTTCAAGTCGAATTTGGCCCACTGGGTTGAAAAGCTTGTTCGCTGCTTGATCACCTTCCGCTTCTTTGAATTCTTTATCGTGTCCTGATCGATATGAGAAGGTTTGGAAATATGAGACTTTCTTAATGATATGAGTGCCCGTACAAGTCAAGGCAGGGTACATCTTGCCGTATGCTCCCCGAGAATACATTGGCTTCCGTATAGGGGTTTGTAGGTGTGCATCGAGGCCTTCAGCGTCTTGAACCTGACTCCTTCCAGAAGTCGCACTTGAATTGCCCCAGACTATGGCATATGAGTCAAGGGAGCTTGACGTATGTTTAGTCCATGTCTCGTCTTCAATGATTGAAGCAATGTAGATATCATGATTGAGTCCGTCCGAGAATCATCCACAAGATAGTTTCAACCTTGTCAGTATACGGCGTTCCAAGTACCAGCACATCGGGTCCTCTTGAAGCCATCAACACTGAAATGCCACCCCTGACTTTTCAACTGTATTTCCACCAGCACCAGAGAAACCAGTTCCTTCACTTTTAATCTCCACCAAGCCCGGCTTGATCTGATCCTTCGACTTGCTTTTGCCCAATGCAGCACCTCCCTTTTCGGTTAGATCAGCTTCGCATACATAACATTGAACGACGTTCTGGTCAACCTGCGGCGCATGAGGATCATGAACACCCGTTGGCGTCATAAACTTGCCAACACAGCTCTTGCAAAGAACATGTCCGCAAGGCTTAGCGAGCATGGCCTTGGAATTATTGCTTAAAACCTTCTTACACGACGGGCAAATGCGCTGGATGGTTCCTGTAGAAGCATCCTTCTCTTCGGTGAACGCCAATGTGACCAGAGTGTGAAGAGAGTAGTGATGAGGCTTATTATCTTGGGATGCAGGGCAAACAGGAGATTGCTTAGACTTCTTTACAATCGTATGCAAAATGTTGTTAGTATTTGACGATGGTGTGATGGAGGGGACCCAGAAAGAAGGCAAAGTTGTCTTTGAAGCCTGTAATTTGCATTAGGAGGAACAATCGTATTGAAGTTGGCCACATACCTTTTCGTGGTCGATGGCTTTCCTTGCTTTCGTCCTCTCCTCTCGAGCAATGCGAAGCAGTTCGTCTTCATCGAGCACGAATTTTCTCTTTTCTCCCCTCTTTCCGTCCACAACGTCGTCTTCCACAACTATCTTTCCAGCTTCCCTGCCAACGATCTTGCCAGAGGATGTACCTCCTAGCTTTGCTTCTAAGCCCATTTGAATCTTCTCAAACTCTTGAACGGATCTCTGCTTTGCTTCTTCCTCTTCGCGATTCCTCTCTTCATCAGCCTCTCTGTCTTCGTTCTCTTTTGTCTTCTCAACCCGCTTGATCTCTTTCTTCTGAGCCAAAATGTTACTCAATGCACATTCTCTACAGAAGATATCTCCATGAGTACAGGAGACAGGTTCCCGAGCAGGAAGAAGGCAGAGACGGCAGGAGGCGAACGGCAAGAAAGAGTCCCTTGAAAGACGAGCACTTGTGGAGTTCCATGCCGACTTTGCAAGATTCCGCTCGTGGGATGTAAATACCGCACGCGAGGTATTGCGCTTGCCTGTGCAATGTCAGGGTCGTACTGAGAGATACGGTTGATTAATCTTACTGTGTGACATTTCAGCTGGATAAGAACACGTGTCTTGGAAACGTGATCTGGTGAGTCTTGGGTGGTGGTTGGAGAGTGAGGTGGCTGGCTGATGGCGTTGAAGATTGAAGAATGAGCGACGTTGATACCGTGGTCAGGGTTCGTCAATTTCTTCAACTGGTTCAAAAAGATTCAAAGGTAATAGTTCCCTCTTTGAAGTTATTCAGTAGTCGTTTCTTGTCTTTTAAGAAAGAGCGTGGAACGGTTGACGAGTAAACAATGAATCCGTCGTTCAAATCCACTCCACTGCAATCCAGAAAATATGTCGGGCTGCGGCGAAACAATCTTCCGCACAAACCAAACCCCTGCAGATCCCATGCCATGCTTCCCCTTCCCGCCCGCCTCACCATACGTCACTATTTTGAGATTTCTCTTGAATTCATCCACGTCCACGTCGCCTCACCACCACCACATTCGTTATTTCATGGCTTCTCCCCTATTCCTCCATCTGGAGCGCGATATACGATAACGCGCAGAGGCGTCATGTCAACTCCTCCGCCTCCCCCTGCGACTCCCAGTCTCAGCCTGCCATGGCGATTCAGCTCTTCCCTGATCATGGGCCTGACGGGCTCATTATCTCGAGGCTTTCTTTTTGGATTGAACAGAACCGAGGTGGTTGGATTGGACAGGTTTCTTGAAACTCTTGACAGCAGGAAGAATGTTGAAGGGAGGGCGCGGGGTTTAATTACAGGTACACTTTGTTGCTGCAGAACTACAAGATGATATGCTTATTGACTGGTTTTGTATAGTGTCAAATCACGTCAGTGTGTATGTTCTACACTGCGCGCAATCAAAACGTTATGAATAATTCGAAGCTCATTTGACGTGTTAGCATTGACGATCCTTTGATATGGGGAGTTCTTCCCTTCAAATACGCGTTCAGTCCCTCGAACCATAGATGGAGTTTAGGAAGTTATGATATCTGCTTTCAGAACAAGTAGGCTGCCAATTCCTAGCTCAAGTGTTTCTTATATTAATCAATTGCTTGTAGATTTCTCTCCTCATTTTTCAGCTACGGTCAAGTCCTCCCAACACATCGTGGCGATTACTCCCCAATCCATGGAGGGCTCTTCCAACCCACCATAACGCAAGCAATCCGACTCCTATCTTCCCAACCCTTCACAAAGACTTTAAGCACCGAAACATCCCCTACAATCAGCGACCCCTTTAGTGGTGGTTCTCTGACCTATTCCACGACTGGCACAGACATTTTCCCAGCTCCCTCGGCGTACCCATCACGAAGACATTCTTGGGTCCATATATTCCCCGAAGGTCGAGTACACCAGCACCCCACCAAATCTCTCCGCTATTTCAAGTGGGGAGTTTCCCGTCTAATCCTTGAATCCGAACCCCTTCCCGATATCATACCTATATTCATAGACGGAAACCAGTACATCATGCACGAATCACGTGAATGGCCACGTTTTGTACCTCGAGTTGGAAGAGACGTAAAAATTGCATTTGGTGAAAAGGTTGATGGGGAGAAGGTGTTTGGGGAATTGAGAGCACGGTGGAAAAGGCTAGTAAAATTGCAGAAAGATGCGCTGGTGAAGAAGGGCCTGCCGACAGATTTGGAGATGGGTGATTTGAGTGAAGGGCTGAAATACTGCAGCGAGGCCGTTGCGCTCAGGAAAGAAGTCACGAGAAGGATTAGATTGGAGGTACTGAAGGTTAGGAGGGAATTGGGATACCCGGATGAAGATCCAAAAGAAGGCCTCGTTGAGACGTGGATTGAAGAAGGCGGAAAGAAAACTGGAAAGATGGAAGATGGGAGTTATATTGGGGAGACGTGAGATGTGTAAGATATTCCTAATTCGGACTCTGGTGGATAGACGAGTGGATAGACGAGTAGAGGTAGACAAAATTCTAAATCATGATGAAATTCAGACGAGTTGTCTAAAGGCAAGCTGTCAACATTCAAGATCGTGTGGTTTGTGATTTGTGCAAAACGCCTAGAGGTTGCCCCATCTAAGATATTCCATTCTATCCCTAGTCTATATATGAATTTTAGGACGTTGACTCTACCGCTATTTTCAGATCAAGCGTCCAGACTCACGTCTACCCAGTGCCCACATCATCTTAACATGCCAAATTCGGATCTGGTCGTAAAAGCTTTGTTCAAAATGTGGTCATCAGCTCTTCTTTCTTCGCCCGATAGCCTCGACCACTTGCTCCAACCACCAAACATGAATCCTTGGATCGCCTGTCAGTTCCGGATGGAAACTCGTACCAAACACATTGGCTTGTCGAACAGCAATGATATCCCCAGCTTCCGCATCCAGCTTCTCCTCCATCCCATCGTCTTTCACTGCCGCAGTACGGCCCGGTAGCACTCCCATGATCTCCACATCGGCCAGCGTGATGTCTTTCGCCACGCTCTCGTCCATAGCCCGGGATGGAGCGATGACTGTTTCTTCGGCTTTGGCCTCATCCTGTTGGATGCCAGAAACGCGCGGAAGCAGCTTCTCTACAATGGGAGCTCGGATGAAGATTGCTCTGAAAGGCTTTTGGCTTGTCTCGACATCCTGGCCGTCGCCATCTGCTTTCTGTAAGAAGGGTAAGTCGAGGTTGGCTTGAAAACTCTCAACTTGCCGGCCGAAATGGTTGCGGTTAACTCGCACATCAAGGCCGCCTATAAGCTCTTGGCCGCCTCTCTTGGTCTGGTTCGCAGCTTCGGCAAGTAATATCAGACCTGCACAAGTTCCCCAAGTTGGTTTTCTTGTCACTCTGTTAAACAAATTAGCGGTAGTTAAGATCTTGGACTGGGAATGACTCACTTGACGAAATGTCTCAGAGGTTCTAACATGTTGGATCTTTGAGCCACCAAAGAGATCGCTGTACTTTCTCCTCCGGGAATGATCAGAGCATCACATGATGTGAGTTCTGCTTCAGTCCGGACCTCTTTGAAAATCCATTTCTTCTGGGAATTATTTTCTTTGGAGGCGACAATCTGACCGGCTTCTCTTAATAATTGGATATGTTCGTTGAAAGCTCCTTGCAGAGCCAACACGCCAATAGTGATGTCCATTTTAAGACCAACCCCTTGGGTCGTATCTGGTGATGTATGGAAAATATCCGGAGTCTAAATGTTACGGAAAGTATTATGTCTGGTGACTTGCAAGACAAGCCTTGAAGCCCGGGGCCCCCTAAAAAGCTTAGCGGATTCGTGCCCGCATGGCATGCCCCACAAAGCCTACCCACCGGCTTTCGGGACAGGATCCTCAACATGATTTGATGTCTCATTTTTCTCTCCTCTTCTCCAACTCTCTGCCTACCTTAATTTCTATGTTCGCCCTCGTGCCTCCCCGAGAGGGTCTCTATAAATATCACATACAATAAATCCCTCCCTCCTCCCCGTCGCCGTCCTCCCGACATGTCCGCCCTCTACTACATCGAGACCCTTGCAGCCGGCTACCTTGCCCTCACCCTCGTCCTCTACATGCTCTCCCTCCGCCTCCAAGCCGCTGGCTTCTACGCCCGCCTCCTCGTCTCCTACGTCGCGCTCCTGGCCTGCGCCAGCTACGGCGTCTTCATCTCTTTATTCCTGCGTCTATTCGGCTATGGAGGAAACGCACAATGGTTCGTCGCGCGGGCTTTTAAACACATCATGCTTTACAGCACCGGAGCCTCCTTCACCGTCGAAGACCCCCACAACTACCTCTCCACCACGCGCCCCGCCGTTATAATTGGCAATCACCAGACGGAGCTGGACGTGCTGATGCTGGGCTGCGTGTTCCCGCCCTACTGCACCGTGACGGCCAAGAGCTCGCTGAAGCGCGTGCCGTTCTTGGGGTGGTTCATGGCGCTGTCCGGCACGGTGTTTATCGATCGCCAGAACTCGACGAGCGCGCGGCAGGCCATGGCGGGTGCTGCTGAGGAGATCAAGAAGCATCAGAAGATTGTCTATATGTTCCCGGAAGGCACGCGGAGTTATGCTAAGGAGCCCATGCTGCTGCCGTTTAAGAAGGGCGCGTTTCATTTAGCGCTGCAGGCTGGGGTGCCGATTATACCGGTCGTTGTGGCTAATTATTCACATGTTTTGTATGTGCAGGATAGGAAGTTTGTGGCTGGGAATATTCCTTGTAAAGGTATGTATGATTGGTTTTGCGCAGGAGAGGAATGGAAATGTTCTGATTCTGTATAGTGTTGAAACCTATTGAGACGAAACATTTGAAAGCTTCGGACGTCGATGATTTGGCTAGGGATACACGGGAACTTATGCTCAGAGAAATGGTGAGCCTAACAGCAAAGGCACGAGGGGAGCCAGTAGCCATGCCAGCGGAAAATCCGATCAACGGGGTAGTGAAAGCAAGTGGTGTGGAAGCTACGGTATCATAAGGTCTAGAAATAGATAAGGTAGATAGATAGTTTGGGTAAAGGATGCAGAGGCACGGGTGACGAAGTTGATGACTTTTCATTGACTGGAGTATGGGCTTGTTTTATACCCATCCATAGACTTTCAATCTGGCAGCAAGCAATGCAGCTTGTCCAGTGGTATGTTTAATAAACAGAAGTCCTTTCAAAATCGATTTTGACCATGCCCCGCCAGAAGGCCAGGGCCCTCCCAGTACTAGTTAATGTAGAAGATTTTATAAACTATCCTGCTAGTCCCGGTATAAATAAAACTTGTTGATACTGTATAATCAGCAGCAAGATTCCAAGACTATTCGAGCTTCAAAATCAAACACAGGATTTCAAGCGATGGTTATAATATAGGTATTTTCTGCACAGTGGAGCTGAGACGTGTGAATTATGCGGGGAAGTGAACCCGCTTCCCATTCATTGGCCGTCGTTGACCTGACCAGGTACATAGCTAGTTATTCGGTTACCTAGAGCTCGAGCTCGAGTCCAAAGAACTGAACTTCTTCGCCATAGGTACTGGACATCAACACTTGACGATTGCAGGGATGACGCCAGGTGCTCTTGATCCATTCCTATGTATGATCCGGGTTTTGGCTTTTGAGATGAATGAATAGCTCCTAGATGGCTTGACGGTAAGCTCTTGGGCGATTGATTGGCTTGGTCACATAACATGTTTTCGGTTTTTTATAGTAGCTGTGACAGAATACGTAGGTAGGTACATACAGAGTATTGAAGTTCACAGCAGCAGAGTGTACCTAGGTATTTCTGGGGAGTTTCTATATCTGGCCTTGAAGAAATTAGCCTGTAACGACGGGAGATATGAGGTAATGAATACGTTGTGGATGGCATTCGCGTTTGGGGTAACCTTCTGGCTTGCACTTGGTCCTCCCTTTTATAATTCTGTTTCGCATGGTTTTTCTCATTCCTTGGCTCTTCTCATTCCCAGTGTTATTCATATATCGTCGAGTTGGCTTCTCTACTGGTGATATCGAATTGTTTTTTACTCGATAGTCTGTATAGTACTTTGCGAGAATAGAGCATGGCTGAATGTATGGCAATTCTAAGAACCTGGGCGAGTGGCCCTGATCCTACATAGTCGAGTCCATGTCCCTGAGTATTTCATCAATCTTGTCATCTCCTTTGATTCTTTGATTGAGATGCATACGGGTAGCACTGTCTTCCGTTCTAAATGGAGTCTTACCAGAGTTCAGACTATCTACCTTTCAAGCTTCTATCAGGTGGGCAAAGGTTCTCTATTGCACTTGCACTTTGGACTTGAACGTCCCTTCTCTAATGCGGAAGCGTCTCTCTACCCTCGAGCGCGTGTTCATATTCTTTCATGATGCCATTCCATCAAGCTTTCATAATCACCAGCAATCCAGTCACCATCCAATACATACCACCACTTTCAATCAAATCATCTCACCATACGATTGTCTCTACCCTTGAATTAATAGGTGGGTGCGAACATTCCCGCACTCGCAATCATGAAATCTTATGTTTCAACCCTGCTCCTGCTCGGCTTCATCGCAGTTGAAAGTTCCCTGGCAGCCGCAGATGCAACTTCAACCAATGTCGATGAGCCGCCTGATGTCACCATTACGCCTGGAGGTACAGGCGAGTGTCAAGCACAATTCGATTGTCCACAACTTCTCTCCTATTACTACGCCCAGCAAAAGGGATCAGAAGTAACGCAAGTGGCATCATATTGTAACGGTTTTCTTGCTGGAGCCACGCCTCCCGGTGCACGAAAGTCAACGCTCCTCTTCTAAGTAAATTGCTATTTTTTATGTCTTTTCATGTTAACATATTGCAGGACTGTCTCCATGACTACGACTCCAACAGACAGACCAAACAGGGTCCGAGCACATTGGACACCTACTGCCCAAATGGCTCGTTCGCTTTCGGTGGACCCCGCGTGTGACAGCAACACCATGGATAGTGAGAGCTACTATTCTGGTCTCATAAGCTCTGCTTGCTCGTGTATAGCTGTTGCACCAAGCATCGCAACTTCCACCCTTCCACCTATCGCAAGCACCTTCACCTCCGGCTCTGCATCTACAACAAGTGTCGGAAAGCCGAGAATCATTGGTTTCTTCGAGACATACGATGAATGTCGCGACGATTGTGCAAGACTAGTCATTGATCCGCCACAATATGTGAACTATTCAAGCATCTGTAGCGATATCGTTGCTACGACCCTCAAATTCGTTGATGAATCGTATGTCGTACCCTAGAATCCCCATGTCTTTTGATTGCTCGAAATCAAGACTGATGATAATGTTCCGTACAGAGCCTTAGCAAATGGTAGTCCTTATACAACTATGACTATGGATCATGATCGGCATGATCTTAACATACCTTATATCTGTTACCGCAATAGCTATAATCGGGCTTTCATATCTGCTTGCTCGTGTGCAAGTTTCGATGTCACTCCAACGACTATGACTATTGTTGATCCACCCTTACGAGGCCATCGATGATGGCACCAACAGTGACTGAGTAAGACCAAATCTTACCCTGCACAGATCCAATCTATGGTCGGTTGGGTGAAATGGCAATTCCGATGATGCTACAGACTGTGGACTAAGTTTGGAGTGGTGAAGAGTGCACGGAGGAAAAAGTTAACCCAGAGACTTAGGAATTGTGTGGATGGGCTTGGTCTGAAGAAGAGAAGTGCCCTTTGAATTAGGAGTGGAATAGAAATGATTTAACTACTCGATGGCACTCTCTTATTTCCGTTGCTCGCATCCCCACCAAATCTTGAGAGGCCCCGTGCATGTGAGTTTGATCATGCTCATAGGAATTGGTTTCTGGCTAATGAAAACTTTAGGATGTGAGTAACTTGCAAGCAATAGATATCTTCTATAATCAATCACAAGCATGAAAACCCAAGCAACACAGCCTTCTATCCCCAACCCACCCCCCAAAACCCCTCTATCCAGCCAGCCAGCCTACCCATCTACTCCTTTCCCTGCCAATTATAAACCAACCTGACCCTCAGCTCATCCTTCCCCTTCGTAACCAGGATCCTCCTCACATAATACCTCTGCCCATCCACAAGCGCAAAACCCCACACCTGCTGCGCGGTCCACCCCTTCTCCTCGTTCACCACCCGGCTCTCGATATGCACCTCCCCGTCCGGTCCGCCTTTCTCGGGATCCGCTTCTAGCCAGTCGGCCTTTAGGAAGGCATCGGTGATTTCGTCGTACGCTGAGGGAGAGAGCCAGCGGCTGCGGCCGTTGAGGTTCCCGAATATATGGTCTTCGTGTTTGCGCTCCTGCCACTGGGAGGGATTAGTGGTGTTTGGATTGGGATGGGAAAGTAAGTGAAAAGGATGGGAATGGGGAGATTGGGGGAAATGGGAAGCTTACGTCCAGGGTTCGGGTCTCGGTCGTGCCTTGGATGCCGCCGGTGGCCGTTTGGCTAATGTCGATGTGCGTGGTGCCCTCTTCTGTGTATTGTTTTGCGTGCAGCGTTACGGTTGCTAGACCTATTGCCTTGCGTGTCCACCAGCCGACGCCTTGCAGGGCGAGGACGGGGTCGGTGTCGTCGGATAGGGTTTTGTTCTGGGGGTGGGTGTTAATTGGTGTTGGGTGGGGGGAGAGGGTAATTGATGCAGGTGACTTACCATGACCCATTTCCCGGAGAGGTCTTTAATGCTAATTTCAGCAGGGGCGGCCATTGTGTCTGGTGGTGGTTATGGTTGTTGATATGAGTGTGAGTGAAGTTAAGGATACAGTACTTGTAAGTAAAGTCTGTAGATGGATAGATGAGTGCAATGCGGGGTATCTACTTCAAATGTCTAATTCTACTTGTACCAAACCAATTCATCAAGAAGCAGGAAGGGAAGTTGAGGATTCTTATAGCATGTCCATCTCATCTCATGTTAATCACAATATCTCGGCGACGTACCTTACTACTTACTACATTAGGGTGCCGAGGTGGTCTAAATTGTAGAGCACAACCCCACCCCCATCTTTTTCGGAGGCACAAAATAATAACAGCATACTTGTAGCATGTGAACCCCGCCTTCTTTAAAATGGCCGGAGTCTTGGCATTGGAACTTGACTTGGCAGTCTTGGCTGAATGGACGGAGCGGAGCGGATAAATAGATCGGATGCACCATCCACATATCATCCATGTCATGTTTTTGTGAACCAATCAAACAGCTCGTTTTACGGATTGTAAAAAAGCCTCCGACATCGCGAACCAAAACCAAACCAAAAAGTTTGAACAGTAGAGCAGAGTTGAATCTGACTCATAGGGTTGTCAAAGAAGGGTCGAAATATATCAAAGGGTGGTCGTTTATCTCTTCTCACTGCTTAGGAGTGAGTTAGTTCGGTCTGCTGCCATTAGACAAGATGCTTCTCCCCCAATTGAGGATGCGGGCGAATGCCTCTATTCTCACCTCGAGAAGAAGCTCAAAATATATGTTGGTATCCCTGAATTACATAAATCAATTAACTAACAATCCATAGCCGTTCCCTCTCAACAACTTTACCTCTTCGAGCCTCTCAAAATGACGAACCCAAGCTCAATAAAATCTCCGCCAACATCACCCAACCAAAATCACAAGGAGCTTCCCAAGCTATGTTATACGCAACTGGCATGACTGAAGAAGGGTTAAATAAAGCACAGGTGGGTATATCGTCAGTATGGTATACAGGAAACCCTTGCAATATGCACCTGTTGGATCTCAACCACAAAGTCAAGGAAGGCGTTGAGAGAGCAGGTCTGATTGGATATCAATTCAACACTGTTGGTGTATCTGATGGCATGTCCATGGGTACGAAGGGTATGAGATACAGTCTGCAATCAAGAGATCTGATTGCAGATAGTATTGAGACGGTCATGGGCGGTCAATGGTATGATGCCAATATTTCAATCCCAGGTTGTGACAAGAATATGCCTGGTGTGATGATGGCTATGGGGCGAGTGAACAGACCTTCCCTAATGGTTTACGGAGGAAGCATCAAGCCCGGTTGCTCCAAGACGCAGAACAATGCTGACATAGATATTGTCTCTGCGTTCCAAGCTTACGGTCAGTTTATCAGTGGGGAGATTACAGAGGAAATGCGTTTCGATATCATCCGTCACTCTTGCCCTGGTCAAGGAGCTTGTGGAGGAATGTATACTGCCAACACGATGGCTACAGCTATTGAAGTCATGGGAATGTCGCTTCCTGGCTCATCCACCAACCCTGCCGACTCCAAGGCGAAATACCTCGAATGTCTCGCAGCTGGTGGAGCCATCAAGAAGCTCCTGCAAGAAGATATCAAGCCCCGTGATATCATGACCCGAGAAGCGTTTGAGAATGCCATGGTCCTCGTCAACATCACTGGAGGCTCTACAAATGCCGTTCTGCATCTTATCGCCATTGCCGACAGCGTAGGCATCAAACTCACTATTGACGACTTCCAAGCCGTCTCGGATCGTACTCCTTTGCTGGCAGATCTCAAACCATCTGGCAAATGGGTAATGAACGACCTCTACAACATCGGTGGCACACCTGCTCTCCTGAAACTGCTTGTGAAAGAAGGCGTCATCAGCGGTTCAGGCATGACTGTCACTGGACAAACCCTCGCCAAGAACGTCGAATCAGCCCCAGATTTCCCCTCCGATCAAACCATCATCCGTCCCTTCTCCGAACCCCTCAAATCCACTGGCCACATCCAAATCCTCCGCGGCTCGCTCGCACCAGGTGGCAGCGTAGGCAAAATCACAGGTAAAGAGGGCCTGAGGTTTGAGGGCAAGGCAAAGTGCTACGACGCCGAAGATCTCTTCATCGAAGCCCTGGAACGAGGCGAGATCAAAAAGGGCGAGAAGACCGTCGTCGTTATCCGTTACGAGGGACCTAAAGGCGGACCCGGCATGCCTGAGATGTTAAAGCCCTCTTCCGCCATCATGGGCGCGGGACTCGGCAAGGACGTAGCACTCATCACGGACGGCCGATTCTCTGGGGGTTCGCACGGCTTCTTGATCGGACACATTGTGCCTGAAGCACAGGAAGGAGGACCGATTGGCCTGGTCAGGGATGGCGATACTGTTATTATTGATGCGGAGAACCGCGTGTTGGATCTGGTGGTGCCGGAGAGCGAGCTGGTAGAAAGGAGGAAGGAGTTTGTGGCGCCGGAGCTGAAGTATAAGAAAGGGACGTTGGCCAAGTACGCGAGGAATGTCAGTGATGCTAGTCATGGGTGTATTACTGATGGGGAGATATGACAGGAGAGGAGTGTTTATAAAAAAGTTTGATATGATATGATAGCTGCTTTGCTTTCTTTCTTCCTCTCACACGGCGTATTTTGGCTTCCTTGTTGTTATGCTTGTATATATACAAAATATATAACGAACCTATAAAAAAGCCATCCTTTCTATCATACCATACTCTACTTTTCCATCTAAAAACTCTTCTCCATTAATAATATTGCACGTTATACATACATACATCTCTCACTCCTTAACGAAAGTAATCCCCCTAAGTAGAATACACTCTAAAGCCCCCATCCCCTACTGAAACCAGTCCTGTCTTCCGCATGCAACTTATGTTGCCATCTCCCCCCTCATAAACACCGCACAATCATTCATTGATCTCACCTCACGTTTGTTTATCACTGTATACATGTAAGCCCCCATCCTATCCCATCCCGCACCCACTCTCCCACAAACACCCAGCAATTCCTCAACCACCAAAAGTCCACAAAAAGATTGGATTTTCAGTGACAGGGAATAGAACCCTGATCTCCTGCGAACAGCATGGCACCCCCAGACCTAGGGACGCCAATTCCAGTCCCTCGCCCGAAGGATGTTGGGACCGGAATGAGAGGCAGAAATGCTAAACCATTACACCATCACGGAGACTTAGGCTTTTGTTGAAGGGCATATGTGGTGGCTTGGGTTATGAAGTAGGATGAGGGATGGAAGGGGGAGAGGGGGGATAATCACTTCCGGGGAGAGTAATTTGAAGCAAGCAGGGTCATTTGAAGGAGTCGTATATCTACGGAGTAAGCTTCTCTATTCTCATTCGTGTATATCCTGGTATCATCCCTTCTGTAATCATCAAAACGCCATCTCGCTTGCCTTCCTCCCCTAAGCCTTCCTCCATATATATATACATACAGTACAACCTCCTCACTTAGGTAAATACCTAATCCCCCTCAACGGACACCGCAACCCCTTCCCAGCCGGATCAACAGGCACAAACTCCCCACCCTGCAAGCTCCCCTTGACATTAAAGCTATACCACGCCTGATTCAGCATATTCCCACTACAGCCCACCACGGCCTCGAACCCCGTCACGTTATTAAGCGCCGTCTGTATATCGGCCAGCGCATACGTCTTGGTGCTCGAAGGCGTGATGCCAGCAGCCGCGAGCGCCGTGTAGGTATCAAGGGTCTGGAACAGGGCGACGGTGCGCGTGAAGAAATCTACGACTTCGTCGCCGGGCACGTACGAGGAGGAGTAGCAGGAGGGGGCGAGGGTGTTGATGCAGGTGCCGTGTTTGTTCCACTCGTGCTCCCAGAAGTGCTCGAGCGTGCCGGCGTTGGGGAGCCAGTAGGACTGCATGGTGGTGAGGAGCGCGGGGGCGCGGGCTGAGATTAGAGTGGTGATGTTGTAGTATTGGGGGGCGGATGTGCAGTAGGTGGGGTAGGAACCGTCGCAGAGGTCGGGCCTTTGTTCTTTAGTTTTTGTTTTCATTTGGAAGGGCAGGAGAGGTACCATAGGCCATGTAGAGTCCAAGAATCATCGGGTCCTATGCTTGGACTTGTATCCCAGAATTGGGTTTGTAGGAGCTGGCCGCCGGGGTAGATGAAGCAGCATGAATCGGGGGCTGCGGTGCTGTTTTGACACGATATTGGAGAGTTGCTTGGGCAGCTTGAGGAGGAGAGGGGGTTTGGGTTGGATGTTAGGGGGGTTTGGGAGATAAGGGATAGGTGGGAGAGGGTGTTGGCGAAGAGGGATGGAAGTTGCATTTTGATGGGAGATTTGTGTGGCTTTTGAATGTAATGTAGAGAGTGAGAGATGGTTTGAGTGAGGAGGAAAGATGTTGTTGATTTACCTAGGAAAGAAGGTAGCCAAGGTCAAGAGAGCATGTCCATGTCTCAAGATGTGTAGATGACTGACTGGTTGAAGCTAGGGTGGGGCTACTGGAGCTTCCGAGTCCCTGCATTATCGCAGGGCAGGTACAGCAAAGCAATCCCTGAAGACATGACTCAAATCTTATCTAAAATCAAGGGGTGATTCCCAGGACAAATATGAAGTGAAAGTTGGGGATTTTTTTGAACGGACTTGTGGAAGCATGCGATATTGTAATGGTAATACGTAACACAAAATGTTTATACCGAGTTGTAAATTTTACTACCACAAGAAATCTTGATCACATATCGAATTTGACTTGCCATTCAGTATTTAGTATTCAATAATATCATAAGGACACTAGAACTCCTTATATGATACTGCTTATGACAAGTACTACCGTAATATACAAAGCTCAGATGATATCGTTATTCGGATCACGTAAAGAGCCATGAATTGGTTTGTATTTCTTTTATGTAGAACCACCCTTCCTTGTTTATCAAGGGCTTCAATTCTCGGGAGACCATCTATCTCCTCTTCGACCAAGCTTCTACAAATTCCGCTTTATCCTTCACTGTTAAGCCCACCCGCTTGACCCTACCTAAACGTGCCAACGCTTCTCCAACTTTATCCAACACTCGTTTCTCCTCCACATTAACCTCGCCCGCTTGATCACTTAGACTCGTCAAAGTATCGGAGCTACTCGTCGTCGCTGAGTCCTCCCCGAGGGTGTCCATAAAATTCGTCAAATACCGATCCTTCTTCTCTGCATCTGTTGGTTTGGATGTATTGTATACAACTTCTGCAATCCGGACACGAATGCAATGCGTAGCTTGCGAAAGGAGGTTCCAGATGAATGCCCAGTATTGTCCAGGAACTGGAGTTGTGATATCTGGAGGAGAATATCGGAGGCTGATTGGGAAGATCTTCGTTCCTGGTGGCGTTGTGAGGAGACTTGGGCTAAAAGGCATAATACCTTTCCCATTCGTCGTAGTACATTCTGGAAACACGACAATAACTCTCGTTGGGTGTTCAGCCAGAAGTGTCTTCAGATCAGTCATCTTAGCTCCTTTGGGAGGATATTCCTTGGGTTTTGCAAGCGCTCGGAAGATGGCGCCAAATAAAGAGACATGTTGTACTTGGCGTGTATGGGGGTACGAGACCGTGAATATGGGATCGAATATGGCGGCTAGATAGAGAGAATCGATGGGCGATGTAAAAGAAGATGCGATAATATTTGTTGGTTCAGGTACCCGGCCCTCATGCTTCTTTGCCAATGATCCCTTCTTCACGCCATCGATTTGCAGGTCAATCCACCAGAGACCCGGGATTCCCAATATCATCCAAAGTATTGCTTTCTTTGCCAGGGAGCCGAGGGGAAAGCATTGTAGGAAGAGGAAGTATGTGGACGATATAGCAATGAAGAAGGGCAGCTTGAAGAGGAAGAGGAAAATATGAACTGGCAGATAAATTCCTGCAGGTTGCGACGAAACGGGGAAGAATGGGGCTATTCCAGATCCTGGATGGAACGCATTAGCTGGGATGGATTCCCAGAATGGAGTGGAGTGGAGTGATACGAACCGCGATCTCGGAACTGGGAGTACTTCTCCATCATGTACTATGTGTGTGGTGTTCGGCGCAAAGGTAGACGCATGAAGAGAAGACGCAAGGTTGGCTGGGATTTAGGAAAGATTATGGGGACATGGCAGCGGTTCTGTCTCAACTCTTGCGTGTGTGGTAGGTACATGTATATGTATGTTGATGAAAGCGGAGCTGCAACAGAAGAGCGTCAGATGTTGTATTTTGGATACACTTCACTTTTGATACTTCGTTATCATGGCATGGCCTGCAAGTCATCATCAATCTGGCAGTTTCACACCATGCCATGTGATAAGACAGGGATTGGGTACCGTTCCGACCGGCTTTTTGCCGCACCGTTGCTAGGGAGGGGCATGGATAACGTAATCAAAACTTATCATGCAACAGATGTAAACAACGCAACTTAAAGCAACATACCGAATATCGACGACAAGCTCAAGCTCCACGACATATCCAGTTTTCACCACACGATACCACGCGCCAAACACCTATCCTTTTAGACTCCTCCGTCTGTTGCCAACATCTGCATCTGCATGTTATTACGTTTTCATTCTAGTAGCAATCGCTGCGATTGATTGATTATGGAGTGTTCCGAAGAGAACTCGGTATGAAGGCTCTTGCCAGTCATCTCATCGCCATCATTTGACTGACTTCTCACGTTCATCGTAGTATATGCGCAAGTCGCAGTTGCGCCCTCCCAGCAAAATTCAATCGCCAGGCAAATTTGGCCTTTTCGAGATTTCCGAATCCGATAGTAATGCGCGGTCGAAACCCTCCTCAAAGATGGCCCCGCCACCGTCCCTGAAGCACAAAATCGGCACGAATTGTAGGTAACCCATGTTGCCGAATTTTAATGGATGGATACTGATGCAATCTACTTAGATAACGAACCGGAACCTAAACAACGAAAGACTTTGGTGGAAAGAGCAGGAGAGCCCAGGTCACTCGTGGCTGCCACACCAAGTGCAAGACCCGTCGTGAGAGGTACTTCACTCGTCGGTGCAGGAGTAAGTTCTTTTTATCTTCAAACAACATTTATCCCCCAACACAAACATCATTCCCGGCGACTCCAATGGCCCAAGTGCAGCGGTTGTACCAGGAAGGTAACCTTGGTCAACTATCTCGCAACGGGGAACTCAACATCACAGATCACGACCTTTGGTCTGTTTTTCTAGCAACCCTTAGCTGCATATATCTGGAGAAAGAGTGGCAGAATCTCATTGATCACCATCATATCGGTACTGGGAATTTGCAAGACGTAAAATTGAAACTGTCTTGCGTACTGCACCCAAGGTCTTACAATCTCCTGGCGCAAAAAACGATCCGACTTTCAGACCTCAATCACATGCTTAATTGGAGTGCTGGCGAGACGTTCTTTGCTAAGAACTTGGCTCCGGCTTCTGGAATTCAAGCCTGCGTATTATCCGTTGAGGTAGACTCGCTGCACTGTTCAGACTGGATTGCAGCTTCTTGCGCATTTCGTTTTACGCCTTTGGATGGGACCTGGCGACTGACTCAATTCACGATTCAAACCTCAAAACATTTCACTAACATCCCTTGCAGAGGTCAGAGATAACAGGCCCGTCTTCCAGCTTCACTCGAAACAAAACATTTTCTTCCTCCGTATCATCACGCACACCATCAGTATCTGCTCGCAATATGTCAAATAGCAGTTTCTCAAACAGCGTCGGTCCGGGTCATAACCGTTCTATCTCAGCCCACGCAGGTGGCCGTTACCTGGCACCAGCATCATTCAACCAGTCCATATCGTCTCGACCAACGACCGTCATTCCAAACTCGAGGCCATCTTCATCATTAGAGGCCACTTCTCCCGACGAAGATATCCCATCCCAAGGCGGGAGACAGGGTATGCAATTATTGCCTTCAATTCAGTCTTCTGTTACATCATCGCGAAGACCTACGGAAATGCAAGACAGAAGATCACATTCGTCAAGTACAATGAACCAGTCCAACTCTCCACGTTCCTTCAAGGATACCAGAGAACTCACCGTGAGTACGGCAATGAGTCAGTTGAGACTAGATGATGGAGAGTCAAGTCAGCCGCCATCAGCTCGATCACTATCTCACAACCCTTTTGTCAGTCATGGCAATCATTTAGGAACTGACGGCCCCGAGGGTGCTCTGGTGCTGTTTGAAGCCCCAGAGGACAGCTTAGTTGCTCCACAGTCGCCATCTATGATTCCCGTGCGAAACAAACGCGTTTCTTTGCCTGCTACTCCTTCCAGAAACCTAAAGACCTCCCCCCGCAAATCTACGCGCATGGCAAGCAATTCTAACAATGATCCATTTCTAGCTTGGGATGTCCGCGGTCGACTCGAAGACATGGAAACCATGTACCGTGAAATGAAAAACAAAATGGCTGGCACCAATGTCGAACGCAGTGGCCTCGAAGAGGCAGTCACAATCTACAAAACCCGAGGTCAGTGCTCTCCCTATACAACACGAACTTATCTGCTAATCATCCATAGTCGCCGAACTTGAAACCCTTCGTTCGCAACTATCATCAACCAACACAACCCTACAAACTGACTTAGATGCTATGCGGATAAAGTCTGATATGCTTCAGCAGAAGCTACTAACAACCAATTCTAGTCTCGATGATCAATTGAGAGCTCATCGCATAGAGCTGGACGATGCCAAGCGAGAACACCGAAACGAAGTGGACCGCGTCAGACGTGACCACACTGACGAGGTTGACCGCCTTATTCGTCTACATCGGGATGAACTTCACGAGCTGGAACGTCGAACGACTCTTGAACTTGACAACAAAGTTCGAGATGTAGAAAAGCGGAGCCATGATAATCTTGAAGAGGAGCGAAATCGCCGGTTGCGGGAAGTTCAAGAACTCGAGGTCCAAATCACAAAGGGAAACCAGAATCTGCATCTAGGGCTTGAGCAAAAGGAACGCGATCTCCAAATTATGCGAGCGGAGCTCGACAAAGTGAAGGGCGAGTTAGAGCGAGAGCAAGCTCTAAAAGAAAGCGCGGAAAAGAGTATTACGGAACTCAAGGGCGCCTGGCAAAAGACAGGTGTTGAAACATCTACTATCATCCAAACTTTGGAGAGCACCGTCTCCAGTCTCCGAGCACGCATACACTTTCTCGAATCTGGCAGCCAGGCCCAGTCTGATAGTTTTGCCGATATGGAATCTCGACTACAAGAAGCGATCAGATCTGCCGAAGTTTCAAAGCAAAAGTTAGTCAAGGAAGAGTCGCTCAGACGAATTCTGTTCAACCAGGTCCAAGAGTTGAAGGGAAATATTCGAGTTATGTGCAGAGTTCGACCAATTTTCAACAGCGAACAGAGTCAGGCGGCCAAGCTTAAATACCCAGACACTGACAAAGAGTCAAAAGAGCTAGAGATACTAGGCAAGGAAGAAAAGAGCAGTCTCGGCAACGTTACAAGAAAGGCACACTCTTTCTCGTTCGATCGGGTTTTCGCACCAGAAAGCACCAATGAAGAAGTTTTCGGGGAAATTTCTCAGCTAGTTCAAAGCGCGACAGACGGATACAATGTCTGTATCTTCTGCTACGGTCAAACCGGATCCGGAAAGACTCATACCATGTCCTCTTCCGATGGTATGATCCCTCGTGCAACACATCAAATCTACGAGACAGCAACCAATCTTCAAGAGAAGGGCTGGACCTATACCATGGAAGGCAGCTTTGTTGAAGTATACAATGAGGAGATTCACGATCTTCTTGGCAACTCGAAGGACTTTGACAAAAAGAAGCATGAGGTTCGACACGATGAGCAGAAGAAGCAGACAATTGTGACTGGGTTGAGGTCTGTGTCTCTTGATTCACCAAATGCCGTCGAATCGATTTTGAAGCAAGCCGATGCCAATCGCAGTGTTGCAGCAACCAAGTCGAACGAACGTTCATCACGTTCGCACAGTGTGTTCATGCTGAAGCTTTTTGGCCGCAACAGTGTCACCAATGAAACCTCCGAGGGTACGCTTAACTTGGTCGATCTGGCTGGTTCCGAGAGACTGAAACAGTCTGGTGCTGAGGGTGATAGAATGAAGGAGACTCAGAACATCAACAAGAGTTTGAGCTGCCTAGGAGATGTTATTGGAGCTTTGGGTCAGGGCAAAGATGGTGGTCACATACCTTACAGAAACTCCAAGGTGAGAAGCTTCCCATGGTCTTTAGACACCGTACTGACTTTCGCAGTTGACCTACTTGTTGCAATACTCCCTCGGTGGCAATTCAAAGACGCTCATGTTTGTAATGGCAAGTCCATTGGAGGCCCATCTGAGCGAGACTTTGACGAGCTTGAAGTTCGCTACAAAGGTAGGAATTCCCACATGCAAAATCACATTACAAGCACTAACTCAGATTTAGGTTCACAACACTCATATCGGCACCGCAAAGAAGTCAACAAAGGTCCGTGAGCGGAGTAGTGATGCGTGATACGGATAGGGTGGTGGAGAATAGCATAACGGTGTTTGATTGTCATTTCGAGGCGTCTATTGGATTAATGCACTTCATCGGCTTCGTAAAGAATTCTGAAGACTGGGCGGGGTAACTGTCTACTACTACAAGACGCGGTAGTCATATTGTATACAATCGGCGTTACTAGTGGAGGGGCGTCTTCTCTTTTTTGAAATGAACATGCTTACAATCCAGGGCTTTTTGTGTGATTCTAAGTCTTTTCATTTCGGTAAGAAGTCAAGCGGTTTCTAAATTTAATTCACCTGGAGGTTGAAAGACTATCCAGAGCTTAGGTGATGCAGGAAGTCGCCAGAAACTGGGGTCGGGAGTTTCTTCAATCTTGATGTATGTTGGGAATGTGCCCGGTCAGCATGTTCCAGCTTTGCAGACCCAGCGCAATTCACCGTCCATTTATATATCATTGCCATAGAATATCCGTTGATAATCACTCAAGTGACTTGACACAATCAAAGTCATGCCTCGGTTCTTCCTCACGTCAGTCTTGGTATACTCTACCTCAGTGATCACAGAATCTCGCACTAGCTAAAAGGAAAAGACAAACTACTAGTCTGCTGTTGAGGGATGAATGTTTTCTGCCTTTGATTACATGGAAGTGGTTATCCTTTTGTGGCAGTGTTATTATGTTGAGTCACGAGTGAGTCTCTTTCGTCCTCACGTCAGCTTCAGTTTGACATCCAGAATCAGATGAAGGGGATGTGAGTTCGTGTAACGTTGCGCGATCGCACCTGCTGGAATAATTCAGGCTCGAGGTATTCTTCAAATCAAGCCACATTTCATGATAAAGAGGAAGAAGGTTCAGCCCTTCCCGAGTCTTAACGAGTCGATTTTCAAAATGTTCCTATTTAGTTTCAAGCTTCTTATAGCAAGCGATATTTCTCGCAGCTGATCAGGTTCAAATAGAGGTGTTTATGTTCACCCAGAGTGTCGATTATAAGCATTGCTTCTCAGAACACATCACTACTATACTGTTAGAAGTATTGTTCTAAAAGAAGTTACATTATTTGATATATCTAATGCGCCCTTTACTAAGCCTTCGCCCCTTATATGAGAAGAAAAAGTCGATAGGTATGTCGATATCCGCAGAGATCCGGGCTACTATATGCCTAATCTAGCACAGAGTCAGATATCTGTGCCAGTTTCATTCATGTCTTGATCTGGATTCGTGTTCTGTTTTGAGGCCGCGTCGTCGGAGCCTTGCTGTGGCAGCTTACAGGTAGTAAGATGTGGAAGGAGGCTTACATCGTATTGACCGACCACAAAATACTACGAGTGATATTTACACAGTGATATCTCAATCAATCATTGGCGTTGAAGTAATTTAGCTATTTTTGGTGTTTCCTAAAGAGTGTCCTTGGCACCTCCTGACCCATATGAGCCGCACTTTTGGCGTTTTCTGACAACTTTTTCTGAGGTGGCTTACAGGCACAATATTGACCTGCTGAACTGAACGTGGCGGAGTGCAAGAGGAAGAATAATCAATACAGTATTGCTGTATGACGCCGCTGGAAAGCGAAATCGTCTGAAAAGGATTTCAAATTCTTGGAAATGACTGGAACGGGGCCAGTTCACTTATAGATACTTGGTCTTCCCCTATTCACTATATCCCCAACGTCCAAATCTCCAATTTCTCCGCCCATCCCCAAAAACCCCCTCAAAACACAAGATGCCCAAAAGCTTGATGTGTCTGGTCCTCATAGCCTGCTTGGAAATTGCAACGGCAGCTTCTTCACTAGAAGACCGGCAACAGTTCGTAATGCAGCAGCCATCTACTTCTACGATCCCGCCATGTGCAACTCCTACTCCATCACTCCAAGAACTGCAACAACTCCTTATGCTCGCGCCCTCAGAAGTAGATCGAGAGGCAATCCTGCTCCCCAACCCTCCCAACGCATGCAACATCACCTTCCAATTTGTGAACACCACCCACGTGCCTCCTACCGGGGGAGAGATCGTTCTTGCCAGCGTGGACAAGTTCCCAGCTCTCATCGGGACTCACGTCAGTGCTGCCATCGGCTTCGTTGACGCCTGCGGCCTAAACGTCCCGCACTCACACCCCCGCGCCAACGAATTCCTAACCGTCGTTCAAGGCCAACTGATCGGCGGTCTTGTCCTGGAGTCTGTCCCCGACTTAACCGGGCGAGTCAACAGTTCCGTCCCGAACCCAACAGTTCCTGAGCCCGTGGTCATGGCCAACCTGACCCAATATACCGGCATGCTCTTCCCGCAAGGCGAGGTGCATTTCCAGTTCAATCCGACGTGTGAGCCGGCCGTGTTTGCAGCTGCGTTTGATAATGAGGATGCGGGAAGGGTTCAGATTGCTAACACTTTCTTCTCGATTCGGGATGATGAAGTTGTGTCGGCTGCGTTGGGGTATCCGGAGTCTTTGGACGCGAGACAGATTGGGAGACTGAGGGGACACATTCCGGATTCTTTTGCAGAGCTGATGGATAGCTGTGCGAAGAGATGTCATATTCCTTCGTCTTAGACGGGAATGAAATTTCAATTGCGAGATTGGTGTGACTATAAATAGAAGTTTGCAATTGGTACAGGATGGAAATAGAGAAGACGGCTTTCTGGGGGATGGAATTTCGAGTTTTGATTGGTGGTGGAAGATTACATTCCTTTATATCTTTTTGCTTGAGTGATACCCCTCTTCACATAGCATTAATATAACATGTACTCGCTAGATTTATGTCCGTTCTTTTAATACCTAAAAGTATGAACATTTCTTTTGAAGTCGCTGGATTTAATCAGTCCCCTTCCCCTTTTCCTCGCTTGGTTGTTCTATGCAGTTGGTCACATGCTCGGACAGCATGCACAAGGCAATTAATCGCAGCAGTATAATTTCCACGAATTGTGTGACCAAACATATAGGGCATGACATAATGAGTATCGAAGTTCAAAACTCGCTACCCCCAGAAGAATATTTCCCGCGAAATCGTAACAACGTAACAGAGCAGCGGGTTTTGCTTGGTTGTTGGAGCTATTATGATAGGGGTTTCTAGCGTGGTCCTCACATGAAAGGAGAAAACCCAAGCGCGCAAAATAGTATTGTTGTCTCTTGGAAGGAACATTAAGATGAGGATTTGAGAGTGATCCACTGATCCGCAAGTGGAAGTCTTCTGAGAAGCGTCACTATTTGAGGTTGGACTAAAATTACTTCCTTGAAATTTTTGAGAAATTGAGAGAAAGCTGATTAGGAGACTATGGGGGATTTGGAAAAATCGTTACTGTCCCTATGCTGGACACGAAAAGCGGCATGTGCTCTCATAAACTTTTTATGTCCTATACTACCTGGAACGTTATAAATTATATGCCGCATTGATACTATCCACCGGGAGGCTTCTTCTTTTTGTGAGAACGAAAAAAGAAATGCCTGCAGAGAATACACTGTGGAGAACCGGTCCGTCTGCTCAAGTGAGCACTATTCACTTGAGTATTTTCCAGCTTTATGTTCTACTGTCTCGACATTGAATAAAGATTATCGTCATCTCGCCGAGTTGAAAACAGTGGAGGTTGGTTTAACTCAAGATATAAAAATCGCGCTCGAAGCAATCTTCCATGGGGAAGGAAGCTGCAAGCACTTAAGCAGTGCATCGCGAGGACATCCAATACTCAGCTAGGGCAAGTGCACCCATGCACCCATTTGCTTGACATATGGTTGTGTTTATACTTAGTTCTTGTCTGCTGCTCGACCAGTACGCGGAGCATGTTTCCGCGATAATGGTTGCAAGTGCTCCAACTGGATGTAAAGGCTTCAGATAAAGCGAAGTAAGATAGCTCTTCTCGCAAATCAACACTGGTATTTGCATTGCAAATGAGAGAGCTCTATAAAAAGAGTATCTTCATGACAACACAATGCAACACAATAGACACTTACCTGCGCTCGAGTTTATTTGGAAGAAATAAATGTGTTCAGTGGCAAGCGTAGCCTGTTTTATATCCACTCCGCGAATGGCTTTCCTATACTCCGTACGTCCCCAGGTTTCTCGGAGCCCTTTCTTTTCCAACTAGCAGAAGCATACTTAGTCGCAAGTCAAACCAAGCGGGAGCAGTTCAAACACCAGCATAGCAAATAGACCAAATGTTTAGGCAGGAGCCCCAAGATGTACATAAACTCGCATAATGTTTCGTCGGCCGCTGAAGGCTTCCAAGAAAGGATAGGCCAGACAGAAGATTCGATTTGAGAAATACGCCTGCTCACAAGAAGAGGCGAAGGCTAGAGACATAAGTCAACAGTAAACAGTACTACCAGTCCAGTAGTTCATGCATGCATCATTATTGACCAATCGTAGGGCCATGACACAACCACTATTTGTCCCTTTCTCCTTGAAGGCTTCCGCGGCGCCACTAAGTAGTGAGCCACAACCGTTAGAGTGTATTAAGTGCATAACAGCGGCCCGGGACTAATGAGAAAACAGTACTTCTCCTCCGTACTCTGAACTCTGAAAGAAGGAGCCTCCATGGAGATCTGACACCTTGCCGATCTTCTCCACGAGGATTGTAGATCATCGGTAAGGTCGGCACGGGAAGAAGAACAGTACGGATGACTTCGACGGTATATACTTAGTACTGTACGCCACCTCATGACCTCCGTACTCGATCTCGCATTCGTATGGAGTGCAGGGGTCGCCGATCTGACAGCAACCTCTTCCGAAGAGGACCCTCTTTGACGCATCTAAGATTTGCGCCAGGGGGTTGATAAACCTTATTCGCAGGTCCAAATAACTCTGTATGGTAGGATTTAAAGAAGCATTTGATCGAAATAGGGCCATGTGACATAATTATCAAAAGACTACAAATGCCTACCGCGCAGAAGTGGGTTAAGTTTCCTGCGCTTGCCTTGTTAATTATTCCTCATTTCGACAAGCGTATAGCTTTCATTACCTCCAAGCCGAGTAATAAATCACTAACAGTATAGCTTCTTGAAAGATTGCCCTAACTTGCGGAACTAGATCCGAATCCGGGGTCTGTATGATTACGGTTCTTGACGGCACGGGCACAACACGGGCACAACACGGACACGGCACAGAAGTGAGCTATATCCGTTAGAGCCGTTATGGCGATCCCGATTCGACTATTGTTTCCCCACAATGTCAAGCGGCAAGTCTGACAGGCCGCACGGAGGATTTTGTCTCATGCTCCCTAACTCAAATATCTAAATAGTGGACTTGCAAAGTACAATGAGTCCTACTAGAGTACTAGTATCCTCTTTTAGGTGCGTGTTGCGAGTGGGAGGGAGCTGAAGGGAAGCGGCTTTTGGTTCGGAGATAAGTTCGAGTGTCGATCAGATTGTGATGGCGCCACAAACAGCATGTGCTGAGGGGCCCCATGTATAAAAATGTTTCAACATGTTTCATTATGTTTCTGAAACTAAGTTTGCAGGCAACGCCTGCATGTTGTTAAAACAAAAAAGGCTTTCTCTTCAATGACACTAAGCGAGATTGGGAGTCGCTCCCTTTTCACTTGCCACATCAAACTTCTGTAAGTTGTTTTCAGAAGGCTTGTTCTGAAGGGCTCCTACAACCATAAAGCGTCCCCGGACGCCCGGAGAGGCAATTATACCCTGCTATGACACCTACTTATACAAATGTCCCACGACTAAAAGATCGTCCCTCGGTTGAGACCCGGTTGGTTCGTTTAGCGTGTAGCTCCTGTCAACTCAAAAGCTAAATATCAATTGCCGTTGTAATTGTCCAGGTAAGGCGAGGCTAAAGCCTTCAACTTCCGCTAGCACCCAGCGGGACAGCAGAGCTAGTATTTTGATAGTATGGTTTCTGCTCTTGTAATGGTGTCATGACTGGTCACGCTCTTAGTATTATCATTAGGATCTAATCCAAATCAAAGGATAACGAAAACTTATAAAGGAAAAAGATCATCGATTATATCAAGGTTAACCCTTCTCCTAAAGCCTGGTCTAGCCGTCTCTTCGCGACGGCACTTGATGTTATAGCCCGGTTAAAGCTGTCTCTTTTGGCGAAGCGTTACATTGCATGTTGAACGCAAGAACTTTGTGGCTGTGTAGCCGTTCGCGCTTCACGCATTAAGGCATGCCGTTGACAGTCTCAATGACATATTAGGGCTAGTTGGAGAGGGTGCACTTCTTGCATGTTTTGAGGGTATATTGAAATCGGGTATAAAATCCTAATTGCATATTAAAATTATATTTAATGTTGGAAACATAGTTCAGAATTCCCCTCTGAACTGCTCAAGTGCTGGAAGCTGCACCATTGGTGGTAATAACTCAATGTAACATAAGACATGCGCTTGCGAAAGTGTGTGACGGAGATCTCTAAAAGTTCTGGGCTCCTTTTAGGCTTTATGCGTATTCGGTTTTATCTCTTTCTAGACTTGTCTAGACTGAGACTTTGTGGGGCTGGTTCATTGGTGCTGGCTTGGCATTGCACTGCTCTGTTTTGCCCTGGAGCTTTTTGCGATGAGATTCCATGTATCATCATGAAGTCATCTTCAAAATATTTGTCATCTTCCAGTGTCTCATAAACTCCCACTCTTCGAATTACGATGGAAGACATGTCGTGACCGCAGTCCGTCATACTCATCATCATAATCTTCACCATCTTCCTCGCTCTCTCCTAAAGCACCACAGCGTTTGTCGTCTCCGTAATCGACTGCGATCTCAGCAAGAAGATTTCGATCACTACTACCCCTTGCTGACCTTGCATCTGATTCTGCACGCGCATTATTGATCATCGCTGGAAGTTGGCGTCGGCGTGCATTAATGAACCAATTTGAAATTTGATCTGGTTATAACCATCAGTAACATGAACTTGATTCCAAATGCAACTATACAAACAATGATGACTTACTGATCTGTAAGCCGGTCTGCCTCATCAGATCCTGCTTCTCGTCTTCCGTGGGGTATGGATGTTGCAAGTGAGCTAAGAACCAAGCTCTGAGCTTGTCAGTTGTCGCCTTTGGCAAATTCCCTCTCCGTTTCCTTTGCTTGCTATCATGTCCGGGATCACCCATGCCATACTGGAACCCGCTTTCACCATACATAGCATGTTGACTGTTGGAAAAAGGTGTTCGGTCATGAGAAGAGCCCGAGTACGACTGTCCTCGACGCTGTTGGTAACCATAGGAGATTGTCGGTTGATGGTACGATGAAACAGGAGGGTCAAAAGAGGAACTTTGCGCCTGGGGATACGTTCGGACTCCAGAACGGGAAGAATCTAGAGCATATTCGCCAACATTGTTACGAAGGGAGGGCGCTTGAGGGGGCCCACGATCGAGAGTCAAAGCAGGGAGGCTTGGAAGGGTTGGCCTCCAGTCGGACCTGTTCATACCCGAAGACTCAAAGACGGGGTTGCAATCGTAATGTGGCGATCTCACAGCAGTATGTCCTCGTGGTTGCAGATACGGACTGCTCCGACCAGATGAGGACCAGGATTCGGTAGAATGCAGTGTACTTGCATGTCGTGTTGAAGAGGTTGGGGAGATCGTTACACTTTCGGCTCTTTGATTAGGTCCGCTCGGACTTCTGTACCTCTTTCTACCTGTACGCTCTCGGAATTCGATTTCATTGTCCTCCTCACATGAAAGCCTCCGACGTTTATGTAGAGGTGGCGATTGAACGTAGACAGGGGTGTTGGACACTCCCGATGCATTCTTAGGGGAATAAACATCATCTCTGTACTCAGAAGCCGGGGTCTGAGTAGATACTCGGCTGTTGATAATCTCGGGAACAGCCTGTCAATGTCAGTAAGTTATAGTAAATAAGCATTTAGTAGTAGACTATACCTGTCGAATAGAAGGCAATTCAACCCAATTTTGCTGTGACCTTGGCTGCCGCTCTTCCCCAACCATGATTCCAGGAGAAGAGAAATTTGGCGGTCGCAACGCCAGCGCCGGCACACTGTTCACACTTATAGGAGTTGGATTCGAGCTTTTCCTAGGGCGAGATAGAGATAATGGCATCCCCGGCAAAGACCAGTGTCTTCTGGGGCCTGTATTTGATATTGTTAGCAGACATACAACCATTTTTGTATTTTAGAAGGTGAAGAACGCATATACAATGATTTGATAGCGCTACATGAGGCTTGGGTATTAAGGAACAACGTATACGTACCCTCCCAAGATCGACCTCCCTTGAACAAGTTCGAGTTTAGTTCCGCCGACAAGGACGGACTTAAGGTTATAGTGGCCAGCGTTGCGGCTTCTATGAACGCACGAGGGGAGAGGTTCTTTTCTTTTCGTAAGAAGCCGACTTTCCAGCTATTGCCGTTAACTCGTTATTGTGGTTGAGTTGTATGCTGGCACTAGATAGATAGGAAGCAAGTGTGCATAAAGGTATCCGGATCTCAATAGTCGATCACTCGTTCTAGCCTTGCAAGATAGCATAGAAATCCATAGGCCGTATATGCCAGGAGTCTTCCCAGTGCCAGGATAGGTTCGTTGTGTTATAAAGTCCTCCTTTCGGGCAAAGGATTGCTAGATTGCGAGCGTTATAACTTCAGTACCAGTATATCAGTGCTTGTCTAATGCAGAAACAATGAAGTCGAATGGGCCGTTGCTCAGATGCCGGCAATGAGTATTTTGGCCGACTGCAATAGGATCGAGGTGATAAATTACGAGGGCGAAGGTTTAGTCAGCCGTGGAATTGCATATAGCGTATTGAAGTGCCGTCAGAGGCTGGGGGAGGTGCGTAGCCTGGGAATGATTTTAGTTATCTCGCTCCCGCTCTTAGTATGGGGGAATCGTTGAGGCTCTTGATACAAGAGACGGAAAAATGAATCGTGATAATCGTTGAAAGTGGCGAAGAGATGTTACTAGAGGAGCCTCAGGGGAGTTGTGGTATATGTATGATGGCGTAAGCCGAGGAGGGATGTCAAAATCTAAAGGACTGGAGTCTATGGAGTACAAGTAGTACAGTAGCTTGATTAAGGTCGATTAGATTGGTGCTCGATTTTTGACAGGGTGCTATAGCATGAAAACTAGTGCATTGATCGTACCTTCAGACTATCCCTCTTAAAGTTAGGGAGTCACACACTCGGCGACCAGGTCCTCGTCCCTGACTAGGGATCTTTCCTTCCTACAAGATCACAGCTGCAGCTCAAGCTAAAAAAAAATTCCCCGATGGAAACGTTGCTGCCGAGCAGGGGCGTGTTTGGAATTGCTACCTGCCGAGCAGATAGGGCTACAGTACCGGGTGCGGTAGAAGCTTTACGATTTTTATCAGAGAGTCTATTCTCATCGCAAACACGCGTTCAATAGGGATTTGGGATCTGGCAGTATTGGCTGGATATTCTTCGGTGAAGAGGGGTGGCTGAAGAAATACTGAGAAGGAAAGTATGAAGTGTGGGTATTGACTAGGATCGTGCGTTGTCATGATCCGACGAGGACGAGGTAGTGCCTTACAGACTAGTACTACAGCGCAAGTTGTCTCTTATAGGGCTTACAGTATTCGAGAACACTGTAGGTCGGCATATACGTATGCATAGCGTTTTGCTAAACCATGTCATTAACGGGTTTATTCCGCTTCTACTCTCATTTGAACGTGGGACAATAAATTGAATTCCTAGTTACGTAGCATATCATTAAGATGCGCGATCTAAGGGACCTATACTATGATAATAAATTTATATATCAACCGATTTCCTCATAGGAGCAGACTCTTATAGCTCTATCAATACAAAGCGGAATACATATGGAATAAGTACTATGTTTACTCTTCCTATATGTAATAGTCAGTATGTTTTGCTCTACTTTGTTATATTATATCTTCATTTAAGAATAGGGAACTAACACAATAGTAGCAATCACTATCTCTACAATATTGAATCTTTCTTGAGATACGCTCATAATATGTTATTAATAAGCATTGCAAGTCTTGCCTCCATAATTAATAAATTGGAACCAGAATATTCATATTTATTGCTGCTGGACTCGGTCAATTCTGAATATTCTTTTCGGGCCCGAGACTTGGAAGCCACAATATCTTAATCAGGCTTGGTCAAAGTCTGCCGTTGTCAAGGAATGTGGCTAGTAAACTGTAATAGTATATGGGCCCCTAGTACGGAGTATTTCTACAAAGCTATCAGGCCTTGTAGGGAATGCTGATTGGGGTCGTTCGGAACCTTGGACTGTGCGTTCCGCGGATGCTAGGATCAGGGTCGATGTTTGTTATCCACAGAGAGCAAGAACCTTGCAGGGTGTAAATAAATTGCGTATCCATCGCAATTTGCTATCTATCTCCTTATCGTGTGATGTATTCCAGAAGAGCCGGAATCATGCGGCTTATCCCCAACCTGCCTGCTGCCTGAGTCCCTGACCGATCTGTCCAAGGGGGGCATGTCGATGCGAAATCAACGTTAAATACGCCCTAGAGTGGTGATGATCTGCACCAAGACCTTCCCGCCAATTCTCGTATTTCCATAAATTCCCGAAACTACTACATCTATTGGCGGTTGAGGGTTTCTCCAATGAGAGGGGTAGATTAAACATGGTATGCCGATGGATCCTAAGTGACAGCATTTAATTTGCAAGGGAGTCTATTATTGACAAGGGTTCATGAAATTCTAGACAATTCTATAACAATACTTCTTGTACTTTTCTTATTATAAACTTCTATGCTTCTATTCTTTTTGCGGAATTAAGAACCAGGCATCCTGTAACTTTAGTGAAACTTCAGTATTTAGAGGGTAAGCGGGTGGTTATGGGCCACCAACAATTGGCTTTGCATGACACGCGTCACTCCACTGTTGAAAGCTATTACCTTCTATCTGTTTGGGTTTATACAGTAGGCACGCACTTCAGAGGGTAATAATGATCTAAACGTTCTGGTAACAGTGATGGTGATGTTGATGGAACGTGCTCGCTTAATAGAGATAGAATTTGTGCATATATCTTGTGTTCCCCAAGATGTTCGTTGTACTTTGCGTGAAACCATTGAAATTGGTTCCAACGTTATGGCCTCGTGCTAGCGGGAAATAAAGGATCGGACGAAATGTTTCCACGCACCAACAACCGCGAGACTGCCACACGGTGGACAAGCCATGCAGATCATTCGTGCTTGTGCTCTGAATGCTGATTTTGAAGAGGGTGTTCCCTAATGCCGTGGACCTCGATGTCTTGAAAGTCTAGTGACTCGTGATGAGAGCTCTAGTTCCGTATGATACGATCTATTCCACACTGACCCGAAATGCGGATGTGGCTTGAGATTTCAGACTCTTGCTTGCTGATCATCAATCAGCAAGCATATCGCTGCGCCGGCGAGTTCAGCATTGATAGCGATTGGAGGGGAAATTCCCCGGCGAACGGCATAAGGTTTGGATTCTAGTGTACCATAAATTGATTATTGCTTCTCGACTGGGGACTGGCGGTGCAACGTGGAAATGGACAAGGAAATGAAGATCTGGGGTGTCGTTGTTGTGAGGAGTGACATTGACATGGGTAGTGAGATTGACGAGAGACCCTGACCCTGCAACAGCCAATAGGCCCATGCTGTCAGATGGTGGACCTGTCCTGTCAATCGAGATCTCTAACGTTTCCCCAGTCTATATGTGCATCCCCATAATGGTGCCAAACCGACCAACCCAACCCATGTGCCAAGAAGGTGAGGCATGAGGCATGAAGCATGCAACGACAGAGAATTCTTTCGCAAGATTCTCCACTTACGGAGACTTCGGCTGATTTTTCCACACAGCTGCCATGGCCTAGGGCGGGTACGCCCGTTGATATAGGGCACACGGAGTATCTTGGCTTGGGCTTGGTGTTGTATCAAGCCTTCTCAAGTTGCAACTCGCAAAAGGTAGGGACCACGATTATCCGGCATGAAAACAGGACAACAAGCACCGCATGGCCGGTCACACGTTAATACCGAGTACCCCCCTCTCACAAGCATCAATAACGTTTGCTGCAGACCCAGCAGATTGGGGCTTTGTGAGAAACACAACACCGTGGCGTGGGTGAGGCAGGTCGCCAATCTAGCAGACGGTCTATCCACGACAGGCGCTAGGCTAGGATACTAAATACGCGGCCCAACCTGGGTTTTCGCGCAACTTATCAGGCATCAAAACGGGTTCCTACAGTAATCTACAGTCTGGAGGTACTTGTACATGTAATACCTTTCTTTATGGTCTATGGTATTCTCCGAATTCCTTTTTCTTTCACCATCCTGCGCTTCCCCGTCTTCGTCCACCTCCTCGGGCTCTATTCACGAATTGTCAAGTTTCATAACTCGAGCTGGGGTCCAGTGCTAGATGGCACAACCAGCGGGCTCATGCAGGACTGGGAATCCCAGCATTGAAATCGCTTTTTGTTAAACCCTTGCTTGACGAGTTTCGTTTTGCCTCAACCCCAGCGTTTGTACTGTTTGGTAAGTACAGGAGAGAAAATAGGCCCATTTCAAAACTGCAACAATACCATATATCTCGTCATCCCTTCAACTGCTTTCAATGGTATAGTTACCATGGCCTGGGAGTCCTAAGACATGACCTTTTAATAGGATCTAGCGGATTTGAGAGGAACGATTCCTTGGTGGCTGGTACTCCAGAGCGCCACAGGGACACAAGATATGGCAGATCCCTATACCTGAAATTGTACGTTACACTGCGATGCTGCACTGTTCCAAAAGATCATACGAATGCAACAATCAGTAGTGCAGCATGCAACATAATGCAGAAGTCTCATGGAAACCTGCATTGCGGTGCAAGAAGTACGTCCCCTGGCATGCACTTCATTGTCTTCTCTGCAAACGAATGGCTGGACATCGGATGACCCGCCAAATCGATCCAGCAATACCCAGCTATTATTGAGCCTGGGTGGTTGCAGGTGCTCCGCCTGTCTGGGAATCCCAGCTGCGCCATTCTTAGAGCTGGAATTTGATCCAAGAACCAGATTGGTGGCATGAGCTGCTTCTTGACAGACGGCAGCTATTGGGAGTCCAAACGTGTGGGCAGATTACCTGAGGAAGGCAACGTTTCGTGCCCCGAGTATCAGGTGTTTGTGGAACAATTAGAATAGCACTGCCACTGCTTTTCATCCACACCACATTTCCTGAACCAATTTCAAATGTGACAGGTACAGCTACTTGTCACTTGACTGACATTACAATTCCTATCACTGTGTCCAGTCTTTCATAAGGGTTTTGAATGGACGTCCATTAATTTTTGAAGCATCTTCGGTATCTAAGCTTCATGACGTTTGCCCCGGCTGACGGCATGGTTAGTTCGTTTCACAAGGCAAGTGTAGGGGTATCTTGCAGATCAAATAGGTTGATTTGACTTGAGGTATGGCTGAAATGTTTCTTCCTTTGAACTTTAGGAGTTGGGCAGGCCAACGGAACCATTGATAGTGTGACACCATCACCAAACGATTCTTCCAGTAGTCTGGGAGTGTATTCGTTTTAGGAAGGTGTTTTCTGCTTCTGTGCTTTTTCCCCGTCCGCGTTAAGCTGACGCCAAGTTCAGATGTCACGTATGAGAGAATTAAGATCGCCAAATTCTGTAAGCACCTAGATCCTGAATGAGTTTATAGGATCGCGTTGAATCTGTTTCAGACCTCGTTATTGTGCCCCAGTCTATCTCTCCCAACTCTCCTAGCAAGTTTTTTGCTTTGGGGTTGGGATCATGCAACCCCCTCAAGTTTTGACATTCAATAGAGAGTCTCCATCTGGAAATAGAGTTGAGTTTATCTTAATTTAGATGCTATCACTTGCTACTTTTTCTTTTCTCGTATCTCTATACTGCATTAGCTTGCGTTATCTTAGCCTCGCACTTCCTTGAAAACCTCTCGCTATCCGTTTATTTGGCAGGAAGCTAAAAAGACTAGCCACGAGTCTGACACTCACTTGGATCATAGCCCGGCCCTCAAAGTATCTATTTCTAGCCTGATTAGCGTCTTTAGCAATTTATACTCCTCGCTTGTAAGTTGGTCGAAGGGGGACACCAGAGCCAAACGGCACTGTTAGAAGTTACTACCTTAGTTATTGCCGGATCATTTTCTAATTGGTCTTAATACTGCCTGAAACATACCCGGAAGATATGAAGATTACGATTAGATGTCATTGAATCATTGGATGTACTTTAGTGTCCATTGACAGAAACCAAGCCGAGGCTTCTAATTGTAGATTTGCGCGAGTCTCGAGCCGTCACGACATAGCGTGGCGCTTTTTCTCATCCCCGCATATCTTACACGATAGCTTCATAGTCTAAAGTGTACTTCCGGGGCAGTTGTCACTTAGAGGGACGCTTCAGCGCCGGCGTCGTGCTCTCGTAGTTAACGTTTAGGTTCGTTCTTCGATTTTGGGGCAGGTAACGTCAATATATTTAATTGCCGAATTGAGCAACTCCCAGGTAAGTCTGCCTTTCGTTTCCTTTGCTTGATATTTAGGTTTTCATAGCGCTGGCAAGTTCGACGCCGATATTCCATTCCATAAGAAACTATCATCATGTCTGATGATCTTCCACCACCAGCAATCCACCAGCAGTGACTACCAGCACCGCTTGATCCGTGGACCAAACCGCAATGGAAATAGTTTACCATTCGCAAATATTCTACGGAAAGGCAAGTGGGTAGTTCGATTTGCATCTATAAAATCAATAGGTCAAGATGTCAGATCGATTCCATCCAAGTTGTACTTTTGCGCTTCCTTCAAGAGCAATGACTTCCCTTATTCGGCGAGTGTCCCTCTGTTGCTGCAATGCATTTTCTGTCAAGTTTTAACTCAGAGTCTACGCTTGGTTATAGGGACACCGTTCGATTCGTCATATTGATCCGTGGTAGCAGGCAGGTGTCTGGTACTTCGAAATGCTCGTTGAGTATCTCCACAGGGCCAAATAATGTGCGCTCCACGAACCATGTCATATCTTTGCGTGGACTAGAAGAGCCTATACTATTGCGCGGGAGGGGGGCGTGACTCACTGTGGGTCTGGGTACGAGTCCTTCGATATGGACGTCGATTTGATATTCGAGTCGAAGGACAGCCTGTCCTGGCATATACAGTATCTCCTCGAACGGAGGGATCTTACTGCTTCGCGGATTTGCAGTGACCGATTCTGCGCAACGGAGGTATGGATTCCTTCTTTTGAGCATGAGGGTCCAATTTCTTCCCGAGTATAAGAGATGCCAAGCAGGATACGGAAAGATGTTGATCCTGCTCTATCCATTAACGCTGCGATAATTGTAAGCTACACTATGAATGAGAAGAGTTTAGCAATGTGGGATCCGATCCTTTGCAAAAGAATCAAAAATAAGAATTTCGATGCTATGGTGACCTAACAAAGGCCGTATCTGGTGGTATTGAAAATGAGTCACTTTTGACGCCCACCTTCTACCATATCTTCTGCCAATAGTAGTTTCTGGCAGGCTTGTTAATGTGTATGATATTGGTCAAGAAGCTGGGCTGGCTGGACCCCCACGCAATAGCACGGTGCTCGCTTAGGGCTAACTAAGCCCCCTTTTCATCCCCCCTCCTACATCGCTGGCGTCCCTTTAGACTTATTTGTTTTATGATTATCTGATGCCTCAGATTGGAAGTATTCAATAGGCAAAGAATGGAAAGTTGTTGGACAGTTACCCCACGAAGGAAAGATAAGCAGTGTGCACGTGATGGTAAAAGCCGGCTGTTAGCTGTCAAACGCGGGTTAATAATGATCCTTGATCCTCGAAAATGACAAGACAGGGTAGGGTATTCGTAGGTGTGGCAGAGCAGAGCGGCTCTGCAGTGCAACCTCAATGACGATGCTGGTTGCGTGACTGGATGCCCAGCTCATCCATTGACCAGTGTATGAAGGTGGAACTGTACGGAGAGGAGATCCAACCAATCGATGCAGATGTAGATGCAGCTTTTTGTTCTGTCTCCCTTGTTGAATTATGTAACAAAGCATTCGGCGCAAGTGAACGCGAAAAAGTGATCATCAAATTTTCGCAATCTAGACCGCGTGGGGGCGCTAGGATCTAGAACTACGATGTTACTTTACTATACGAGGATTTCTATGCAGATCTCAAATTCATACCGTACAGCTCAATGAATACCACCACCACCACCACCACCACCAGACATCCCCAGCATCCCCAAGCACACATCGCAACATGCATCGCTATTGATCAACGTCTTTGTGAATTCAATTGACCCCTACCCCTGCCCTTGCCCCTGCCCACACCGACCGACTGACCCGATCGCCGTCAACAATGGATGAGGCGAGCAAGCTGGTCTTTGAGCTGCAAAGCAAATTGACCAAGCTCGATCACAAGGTCTGGCTCTATCGCAGAGACATGGCTTCCGAATTCACAAAGTATGCCGAAGGCCTATTGCGCGACGTGCCTAGGGATGTCTCCGAAACTGTCTCAAAAGCCCTGGCCAGATCTATTAAGGAGTATAAATCTCTGAATCTCGACGCGGCGGGCGCTGTGGAGTCGTGTGCCGCAGGCACCAGTAGCCTCGAGATTGGGGCTGAGGGCGAAAGGCCGTCACAACCTACAAAGTTGAGCTTGTCCACACGAGAAGAAGTAGTCGACGAGAGTCCCGGAGGTCCACACGACAGGGAAAAGGCTCTTCAAGGTCTATTTACACCAAGCTATCTGCCCCTCCTCGACGCTACCCATCATCGGAGCGAGCGCAAATCGAGCAGCGATTCTCAAATATCACTGCAGCTGGAGAATAAAGAGAAGGAAATGGCAATGGACAATAGGCAGAATGCTGCAGGCACCGAAATCCGATCATTGACAACCTCCCCCAAATTACAAAGACCCCCCGCACCGAAACGAAGAAACACGGACGAAGTCTCAATAACCTCGGATTGGAGCAGCGATGGGACTCGGCGAAGTGCTCTTCGGCGTGTCTCCACATCGTCGAACAAGCAGCTTACAAGCCCACGTCGCGTGCGGTTCGAGGTTGAGGGTGAAGAAGTCCTGCCTACAGCTTCCCCACTTCCCTCCCAGTTGATCCTCTCTACGGATAAACGTGAGCGTTCTCAGTCACCAAGCGATGACTCAGATGAGGAGGGCGGATCAGAGCAAATTGAGGATGTCGACGAGCCTTCACCGAAGAGAATCTCGTCATCGCAGGCACTCAGAGCCCTCTCAAGAAACCCCGTAGCCGACGATGGTACGCAGTGGACAACCGTTACAGCGCCCCCGGACGGCTCAGCATCGGTCGCTGTACCTGGTCTAACATCTCAGGACTCATCGAGTGAAAATCTACCGAGGGCCAATGGCTCGTCAGGTTTGAGGATGGGTGATGGCTACGGTCTAGAGGAATATTCGAGTCGGGGCGAAGAATCCAGTCAGCAAACTTCCGAAAGTGCTTCTCAGAGCAGAGCCAAACGCGAGAATTATGACTCAGAGACCTCTTCTGATGGCGATATGCTTGATATGCCACCATTAAGGTCGATGAAGGGGCAGAAGAGCACCCAATCCCCCACCTATACGACAAAGCTGGAAAATATCCAGTCACCGACAGCCTCTTCAAAAACCTCTGACTTCCCTCGGGCCGACAAAGAAAACTTCGGCAAGTCAACGAAAAATGGAGGTGGAGCTATGCGATTCACCGAAGAGGATGATGAACAACTCTTTCACTTTGATGAAAACACCGATCACTTGGTGCATCGTAGTCCACCAAAAGAGCAGGACGAACCAGAAACGTCATCTCCGACCTTTCCAGTAGACGAAAAGTCTATCGCCGAGCCTGCCAATCTCAGCCAGTACTCGCAATCGCCAGCACGTCCGATTGTCAAGCCAGGACGGACGCCTACTAGATCAAACGACGTATCTGGTACGTTCAATGGTCATCCATTCAGCACCCCGATCGTAAACCCCGAGATCCACGCTCAAGCTGCGTCACTTGGCGACGTCAACAGCTTTGTTGGGAGCATACACGGCCGTAGCGGCGTCGACGAAGGCGACATGTACAGCTTCAGGCAGAGCGGCGGGATAGGCAGTTACTCCGGTACTCCGAAGAGCATGACCGAGAGATTATACATGGATGAATTGAAGGAGGCTGATGAGACGCGGGAGAAGGAGAGGAGCAAATGAAGTAAAATAGTAAATATATGCATGAGATAGGATGATTTTCATGAAATTCAATTTAGTATGGGTGGGTGATTTAGCGACGCATTTTAAGGGGGGGTTTTCTGCCTGTTATTCTACATGCATGCATGGATGGTGGGCGTTTTGGAGATTAGCCTTTATGATGCTAGGAAGACAGACAATGAGTGGACTTGGATATGAGATCCAAGTATATAGTACATATAATCAGATCAGATAAAAAAAGTCGCTCGCGCAAGTGCAAATGCCGTTGAAATAATTTGAGCTTCTGTTTTTTTCAGCACTTGCTTCTATTGATTTTTGTTCTTCTCGTTTGTTAGTGGGTTCACATACCATGCAATGATCGAGTGTTATTCGAAGGATTGAGCAGGCAAAAGCAAGTAACTAGAGTACAATACACCGCCGAACTTGAACGATCGTCAAGATTTACCTGCCTTTCTCAATCAGCAACCTTACTAACCTCCTCACCCAGACAATCGCCGAAGTCTTCGGCCTACTCGGAATATAATCATTTGAAAGTGAATTTAAGATATCATTATAGACTCCTTCAAAGCGCATTCAAAGAATTACGATCAAGTTGACGTCCCAGTGTGTCTGTTGTTGGGGAGGCCTGTTTAAAAGTGAGGACACGGATAGTTTACGCTCAATATAGGATGGGCTGAGCATCTCATGCAAGCGCGTATGTGGCTTTGGCTTGGTGTTGCTTGTTCGTGGTCCGTCGTCAAATAGTATCAATTGGGTTTCGAAGGCCTGGATGATGCTCTGTTTCCATACTTTTGCGGTCCCTCGCTTGATGCTGAACGAGATGATATGGGCTGGGGCTTTCCAACGAACGTTGCTGCAACTGAACTCTTGATACTAAGAAATACTGACGACGATCGTTGTATAGCATCTGATGTTGCCGGCTGTCAGTCATGATCGATGGACTTGTTTGGGTGCTGGGAACTGCTTCCAATAGTGGAGCGAGATGATCCAGGAACAGATAGCCTCTGAGAAACCACCGGAGGATGGCTCGCGACTGCCTCGTCGTCAGATGGTGAGGACTCCAATATTTGACGAACGCGTCTCTTCCCCCTATTAGACTGTCGGGTTGCATCGGCAAATTGCTTCGATTTGACCGTGAATGCTTGAGGTATGGGCTGTCCGTTGTCCACCTTGGCACGTCGCGGTGAAGCATCATATAAACCGAAGACATCCGAGCCGGAATGGTTCTTTTCATGCTCCTTATTCTGGTCGGGAAGGGACTCCGTGACTCCGTGGTACTAGACCTGTGATCCAAAGGTATGGCGAGAGTGTTTACTCACGTGTTCTCCAGTGAATGTTGAAATATTTATAGATCGGAAAATACTTGATTGGTATGGATGTAAAAGTAAGCAGAGTTGACCAATCTCATGTGCAGAGCTAATTTCTAAGAGGAGATATTTCACATGTTCAATTTAGTCAGTACCATTCTTGTCGTTCTGCCTAAATTTTATAACTTTTGAAACCTCCACCTCTTAACTCCACCACAGACCATAAATCTCACCATACTCTCTCAAACCACAATCGTCATGGAATCCGGATACCAAACATCAGCATCATAATGAATATTGTCGTGCCGTGGTTCGAATACTGTACATCTTCCTTGCTGGGACTATATACGCCTTCTACAACCAAGGCGATTCATGGAGTCATGTTCCGATACCATGGGCAACAAATCTCAGGCACTATGCTCTTCTATCTTGCAGAGGTTTGGTTCTGGTATCATATATGTAAGTTCATTACTTATTTAACCATTCTATGTACTAATAGTGAGAAGTCCGCGAGGATAAGCCATACCTTGGCATAGACCCCGATCCCTTTACGCCAGCGAGCATCACCCCGGCCCAAATATCTGGCCTCAAACCACAGGATCTCCAACTTCAACAGACCATTGTCCAATGCCAGCGTTCTGTTGTAAAACCTGGCGTACAGCCAAGCCAACCTGCCGATCATCTTTCTGGCTCTTCACTTTCACAGAACCACCACCACCCTGACTCAGAGCTACTGAATCATCGCTCCATCGCTCCTCATCATACTCCTCCATGAATCACTTCGCGCATGGGAGGTTCTTTTGTTTTAAGGGAAAATGTACACCGGGCCAGTAGACACACAAACCCTTTTCAAGGTAAACGAATAGATTTCCTGCCGGCATCTCGGGATTGAACCTCTTCTATTCTAGCATCAGTTTATCATAACCCCGCGACTCTTCACGTCAAGTCTTCAAAGACTAAGCCTATGTGTGCCTTTCGTCTGCAACAGATCACATGTCTCATAGAGCCCCGCCGTCATCCCCACCCGCAGGAACAACGACTCTCCCCATCCCTCTCATTCAAAATATTCTTCCTCTGTTCCATCCACCTCAGCCCTCGAGATCATGTGCCCCCTTTCTGCCGGAGCACAGATGAATAGCTCGCCATCGTTTGTCCTGCTATCGACACCGGAGCCGTTGGGATATCCGACGTCGGATTGATGCCTTTCCGCTGAAGGAGACGAGACGGGTGATGAGGTATGTGACGTGTTTCCTGCCCCCCACCACCAAAAGACTCTCCACTCGAAGACCAGGAACGGCTCGAGTTACCAAGGATTTGCAGGAATACCGCAACCATGAGTGGCATTGGTGACCTCGAGGCAAGCCGGGCCTAGTCACCACCACCAGCGTTGCAGCGATAACCACCCGGTGCATCTTCCTTCACATCAATAAGACATCCCGGTACTACAATATGATGGCCTTGCTTGTTTCGGAACCGCCAAATCAAGCATCCAAGAGCTATAGCAGCAAGTATTCCGATGATCAATCCGCCGACAACGATTCCAACGATTGCCGCAAGAGGTAGTGATGGGCTGCTGGAGGGAGTTGGCGATGTTGGTGGCATCGAGAACGAATAGGTCTGGAAGTAGGACGCTGAGGACGGTACTGAGCTCGGTGTAAATGAAGACATTGTTTTTCTAGATTGAAAGCCGTTGTCGACAAATGTTGTTAGTGAAGGTGAAAAAAAAACTAGGTACTTATACGAGTATTGCTACAGTAGACAGCAGAGAGAGCGTTGTAGAGGAAATCAATGATCAATCACATCTTAGCCATGCATGCGAACTTTCCATTGAACCTTAAAGACAAGACAAAAGGAAATCACGAGGCCAAAGCAGAAAGGAGCGCTGTCAATATAAATTGCTAGTCGTGGTGGCTTGAGATATGTATACGCAACGATAATACACATAGGAGCGGACGAATTGAAGGCATTGATTCATCGTGTCCCGGACTTGGCAGGTGGTGGCTGAGAAAACAGAAAACGGATACGAACTCCAGCGCCAACAATAAACGGTCAGAGAGTATACCGTTGCAGCTGATTATTGATATATCGCTACGAGTTGTTCACTGACTGGATACTCAAAGAGATGGTGAGGCATCGTATCGAGGGCGATCACTTCAATCGGGAGGTAACACAAGCTGGGGGATGGATGAAGATTAGGACGCTTCAATTAAACACGAGAACACGCCTAATACCTATAGATCGTTGAATGAGCGCAACGAAATGGGGCTCGAATTGAGACTTTTTGGGGGGATCGGGTGTTGTTATATGCGTGGAGAAGAATGGTAGTCGCGTCTGCTGCAACGCATTGTGCTTTCAATCGTGGGCGTGTTGATGAGAACAGACAGATAGTGGGGGAATTGCCTCATTGCAAGTATCAGAATTATACTGCTATTTTACTGCATTACTCGTGCTATCATCTTCAAAAGCCATCTTTGAGCAGATAGACCTAGGTGATGGAAAGTCGCGTTTCAATGTTGTTGCAGTCGCGCCAGTGTGTGCCTCAGGCTGCAATCACTTAACCACCCCTCCACATCACATCAGATCAGCCAATGAAATGACTTGGTTCTCGGTTAGGATTTGAGCCAGATTGGCGTCCCGAAAGTCAGCGCTTTTGAAAATGGAACTTGCGGCCACCCAATACGTACTAGCGTTGTTTTATCTCCAAGTGATTGTGAGTTTTGGCGTGCACCTTATAAGACTCCGCTCCCCTCATTCTTTGCGTCTTCTTTCATCATAGTCACGAACAGCCACATCAACAATAACCTCATCTATTTCCATCAATCAACCCGTGATTTCATCACCAAAACTCCTCTTACAACTCCCCCACATATCATCAATATGACTGGACGTAAGTATTCATCGCCTTCTCTGTTATTTGTCGCGTTCTTGACCATGTTGTCGTCGCCGCCACCTTTTCCACGGTCGGAAAATGTGGTGATGGCTTCAACATCGCGCTTGCTCGCCTCAACCACTCACATTCGACATTCACATCAACAACCTTCCTCAAACCTCAACTGCGCTTTCATATACACGCATGCTAACGCTTCTTCACAGGTGGAAAGGGCGGAAAGGGTCTCGGCAAGGGTGGAGCCAAGCGTCACCGCAAGATTCTTCGTGACAACATCCAGGGTATCACAAAGCCTGCTATCCGTCGTCTCGCGCGTCGTGGTGGTGTCAAGCGTATCTCAGCCAGTAAGTTGATCGTGTCGCCGTCGCTTTGTCTAATACTAACACGCGTCTGCAGTGATCTACGAAGAAACCCGTGGTGTTCTCAAGACCTTCCTCGAGGGTGTCATCCGTGACGCCGTCACCTACACTGAGCACGCCAAGCGAAAGACTGTTACCTCCCTCGATGTTGTCTACGCCCTCAAGCGCCAAGGCCGCACCCTTTACGGTTTCGGTGGTTAAGTTCTTCCTCACCTCACACACCACCTCCGTTCGCTCTCACCTTTCGATACCTCAATCTTCGACACTGGTTTTACGACATGGATGGATCTCGATGGGCATATGTTACTTTTGATAGTCTATTACAGACGGTCTAGCATGCTGTTTACGGCAGGGTTTCGCTCATCAAATTGTTTTCCATCTTCTCGGCATTCATATCTCGACATCGACTGGTCCTCAATCTGGTCTCGGCATACATTCCTCTGCAAACCT